TTACAGAAACTCCGAGCGGCAAAAAACCCAAAACAGTCACGTGTTTTTAAACTTTGACATTTAAACAAATAAACTGAAAACTGAGTTTGAGTTTAGATTTTTTTTCATCAGCCACATCAACAGAAAAAAAAAGAGACAACATTTAAAACCCAAATGACGCGCCTCTTTTGTTTTTTTTTTTTGTTGTTTTGCCGCTCAGAGCTTCTGTAGTTCTCAGTAAATGTTTGGTTTGATTTGAGCCTCGAGTCCGAGTCTTTAAATTTAATTCTGACAAACACTTTTGTTTTGAAACACTGAGACGATGTGTTCATGTGTCTCTGTCTCTGCTCTGACCCTGCTGCTGTTCTGACCCTGACCCTGCTGCTGTTCTGACCCTGACCCTGCTGCTGTTCTGACCCTGACCCTGCTGCTGTTCTGACTCTGACCCTGCTGCTGCTCTGACCCTGCTGCTGTTCAAACCTTTCGGCTGTTCAGAGGGCTACCCGGACTCGAACAGCGGTGAGTCGGACTCGGATCAGTCTGAAGTCCCGGAGCTGGACTCGGAGGTGGAGCAGGAGGCTCAGAGCGAGTTCCAGCGGCAGGTGAACAAGCAGGACCTGCCGGACCTGCCGCACCTGCCGCACGGCTCCGCCCGCCAACCGCCGCCCGCCTCAGGACTCCGCCTCAACTTCGTCCACGGGTAAATCACCTGTCAGTGTGGACACGGACCTGATGTAGTCCACTTTTGGTCCTGGTTCAGACCCGGTCCAGACCTGGTTTAGTCCTGGTTCAGACCTGGTCCAGACCTGGTTCAGACCTGGTTTAGTCCTGGTTCAGCCCTGGTTTAGTCCTGGTTCCCTTCAGACCTGGTTCAGACCTGGTTCAGACCTGGTTCAGACCTGGTTCAGACCTGGTCCTGGTTTAGTCCTGGTTCAGCCCTGGTTCAGACCTGGTCCTGGTTCAGACCTGGTTCAGACCTGGTTCAGCCTGGTTTCCTGGTTCAGACCTGGTTCAGACCTGGTTAGTCCTGGTTCAGACCTGGGTCAGACCTGGTTCAGACCTGGTTCAGCCCTGGTTTAGTCCTGGTTCAGACCTGGTTCAGACCTGGTTCAGACCTGGTCCAGACCTGGTCCAGACCTGGTTGTGGTTCTGTGGCAGGTTCCGGGGCTGGGACACGCGCTCGTGCCTGGTGTGGTGCCAGTCGGGGCTCGCGTTCCCGGCGGCGGCGCTTTGTGTCGTGTACGACCGAGTTCGACACACGCAGACGTTTTACCGAGGACACGACGACCTCGTCCTGAGCCTCACCGGGCACCCGTCCAAAGACCTGATCGCCTCCGGGCAGGTGAGCACCTGTCCTGGTCTAGACCTGGTTTAGACCTGGTTTAGACCTGGTTTAGTTCTGGTTTAGACCTGGTTAGTCCTAGTTTAGATCTGGTTCAATCCTGGTTTAGTCCTGGTTTAGTTCTGGTTCAGTTCTTTCAGTTTGAGGTTTGTTGTGTGAAAAATCTGTTCTTCTGGTAACAAACTCTGTCCCTGCACCTGTCCCTGCACACTGTCTGTCCCTGCACCTGCCTGTCCCTGCACCTGTCCCTGCACCTGTCCCTGTCCCTGCACCTGTCCCTGCACCTGTCCCTGCACCTGTCCCTGCACCTGTCCCTGCACCTGTCACCTGTCCCTGCCCTGTCCCTGCACCTGTCCCTGTCCCTGCACCTGTGCACCTGTCCCTGCACCTGTCCCTGCACCTGTCCCTGCACCTGTCCCTGCACCTGTCCCTGCCCCTGCACCTGTCCCTGTCCCTGCCCCTGTCCCTGCACCTGTCCCTGCACCTGTCCGTCAGGTGGGGCGAGACGCAGAGATCCACGTTTGGGACGTCCAGACCCTGAAGTGTTTGTCTCTGCTGAGAGGACGACACGAGCGCGGAGTCTGCTCCCTGGACTTCACTGGTGAGGGGGGGGACTGAACACCCGAATGTCTCTGAGGGGGGGACTGAACACCTGCATGTCTTTGAGGGGGGGACTGAACACCTGCATGTCTCTGGTGTCTCCTCAGTGGACGGGAGGAGTCTGGTCTCTGTGGGACTGGACGAGTGTCACAGCATCGTGATCTGGGACTGGAGACGAGGAGAATCACTCGCCCGGGCCAAGTGAGACCTGGTTTAGTCCTGGTTTAGACCCGGTTTAGACCCAGTTTAGTCCCGGTTTAGTCATGGTTTAGTTCTGGTTTAGACCTGGTTTAGTCCTGGTTTTGTTCTTGTTTAGTCCTGGTTTAGACCTGGTTTAGACCTGGTTTAGTCCTGGTTTAGTCCTGGTTTAGACTTGGTTTAGACCCGGTTTAGTCCTGGTTTAGTCCTGGTTTAGACCTGGTTTAGTTCTGGTTTAGTTCTTGTTTAGTCCTGGTTTAGACCTGGTTTAGTCCCGGTTTAGTTCTTGTTTAGTCCTGGTTTAGACCTGGTTTAGTCCCGGTTTAGTTCTTGTTTAGTCCTGGTTTAGTCCTGGTTTAGACCTGGTTTAGTCCGGGTTTAGTCCGGGTTTAGTCCTGGTTTAGTCCTGGTTTAGTCCTGGTTTAGTCCTGGTTTACCTGGTTTAGTCCTGGTTTAGTCCTGGTTTAGTCCTGGTTTAGTCCTGGTTTAGACCTGGTTTAGTCCTGGTTTAGTTTCCTGGTTTAGTCCTGGTTTAGTCCTGGTTTAGACCTGGTTTAGTCCTGGTTTAGTCCTAGGGTTTCCTGGTTTAGTCCTGGTTTAGTTTAGTCCTGGTTTAGTTTCCTGGTTTAGTCCTGGTTTAGTCCTGGTTTCTGTTTAGTCCTGGTTTAGACCTGGTTTAGTCCTGGTTTAGTTTAGTCCTGGTTTAGTCCTGGTTTAGTCCTGGTTTAGTCCTGGTTTAGTCCTGGTTTAGTCCTGGTTTAGTCCTGGTTTAGTCCTGGTTTAGTCCTGGTTTAGTCCTGGTTTAGTTTACCTGGTTTAGTCCTGGTTTAGTCCTGGTTTAGTCCTGGTTTAGTCCTGGTTTAGACCTGGTTTAGACCTGGTTTAGACCTGGTTTAGTCCTGGTTTAGTCCTGGTTTAGTCCTGGTTTAGTCCTGGTTTAGTCCTGGTTTAGTCCTGGTTTACCTGGTTTAGTCCTGGTTTAGTCCCTGGTTTAGTCCTGGTTTAGTCCTGGTTTAGTCCTGGTTTAGTCCTGGTTTAGTCCTGGTTTAGTCCTGGTTTAGTCCTGGTTTACCTGGTTTAGTCCTGGTTTAGTCCTGGTTTAGTCCTGGTTTAGTCCTGGTTTAGTCCTGGTTTAGACCTGGTTTAGTCCTGGTTTAGACCTGGTTTAGTCCTGGTTTAGTCCTGGTTTAGACCTGGTTTAGTCCTGGTTTAGTCCTGGTTTAGTCCGGGTTTATGAGGCTGTTCTGTTGCAGGGGTCACACCGACCGAGTTCTGGTCGTGAAGTCGAACCCGTTCAGAACCGACAAACTGGTCTCAGCCGGAACCAAACACATCAAGTTCTGGCAGCACTCTGGTAAGTCCCGGTCCAGTCCCGGTTCAGTCCTGGTTCAGTCCTGTTATAGTCCCAGTCCAGTCCTGTTATACTCCCGGTTCAGTCCCGGTTCAGTCCCAGTCTCTGTGTTGCAGGAGGGGGTCTGACGTCTCGGCGGGGGGTCTGGGGCTCTCGGAGGACTGAGACCCTCATGGCTCTGGTCTTTGGTCCGGCCGAGGACCTGGTCTTCTCCGGGTCCAGCTCCGGGGACGTGTTTCTGTGGAGAGACACCAGACTCACCAAGACCTTCAAGACCCACGATGGACCTGTGTTCAGCATCTGCCCCCTGGACCAGGTCCGGACCAGGACCGGGACTAAAACAGGACTAAGCTAAGACTAAACCAGGACTGGACTAAACAACATTTTGGACTGTTCTCAGACCTTTCGGCTGTTCTGTCCTCAGGGCTTCGTGAGCGGGGGGAAGGACGGAATCGTGGAACTTTGGGACCAAAAGTTTGAACGTTGCCTCAAGAGCTTCGCAATCAAGAGGTCCTCCCTGTCCCCGGCCTCCAAAGGTCAGACCCGGTTCAGATCCGGTTCAGACCCGGTTCAGACCCGGTTCAGATCCGGTTCAGACCCGGTTCAGATCCGGTTCAGATCCGGTTCAGACCGGTTCAGACCGGTTCAGATCCGGTTCAGATCCGGTTCAGACCCGGTTCAGATCCGGTTCAGACCCGGTTCACATTTGGTTCAGACCCGGTTCAGATTCGGTTCAGACCCGGTTCAGATCCGGTTCAGACCCGGTTCAGACCCGGTTCAGATCCGGTTCAGACCCGGTTTGTGTTGCAGGTTTGCTGTTGGAGGATAATCCATCCGTTCGCTCCGTCACTTTGGGACACGGACTCATTTTTGTTGGGACGAAAAACGGCGAGATTTTAGAGATCAACAAAACGGGCGCCGTCACACTGCTGCTGCAGGTCTGTACAGCTGAAAGGTTCTCCTGCTGCAGGCTGGGTGCAGTTTGGTCGTTAGACTGTGATTATGTTTCTGATTTACTTCATGAATATTTATGAGTTGTTTGGATGTATCGTTTTTGGGCTTTGAGTCAGTTTGTGTGAACAGGGACTGTGGATGTAGTCCGCTTTTAGACCGGGTTTAGACCTGGTTTAGTCCTGGTATAATTTCTGGGTTGAGCCGTCTGGCCTCCTCTCGTCCTTCTCAGGACGGTGGCTCCAAAGTCAAACTTCTGCTCAGGACAAAGACAGTGAGGAGCTCGGAGCCTGCAGCTTGATGGGTGTTTTTTTTTCTTCACTGCAAAAACGTTTGGTCAAAATGTAAAATCTAAACACTTGAATCTGTCAGAAAATGACGTAAAAGTCGAGAAATGAAGTGTCCGTGCAGCGAGATCATTTTACTGAACGAGTTCTCTGAAAATAAACCTCTGGACGAGAGTGAAGCGTCTCAGAAGTCGACCATAAATCTGAAAATAACAAAGAACCTGAGAGAAAGAAGTCTTAAAATCTTCCAGATCAGAAAAATTTGTTGAAGCGTTTTAGTGTTTTAGTTTTAACCGACCGCCTGCCCAGAGCTGGACAGGTCTGTACAGCTGAAAGGTGTGTGCTCCCCAGGGCCACATGGAGGGGGAGGTGTGGGGTTTGGCCGCTCACCCGCTGCTGCCCGTCTGCGCCACCGTCAGCGACGACAAGACGCTGCGGATCTGGGAACTGTCCACCAACCACAGGATGGTCGCCGTGCGCAAACTCAAGAAAGGTCTGACCCCCTGACCTCTGACCCCCTGACCCCCTGACCCCCTGACCCTCTGACCCTCTGCTCCTGTCGGTCCTGTCGGTCCTGAACAGCTGCGTGTTGTGGTTGTCCAGGGGGCCGTTGCTGTGCGTTCTCTCCCGATGGAAAGGCTCTGGCCGTGGGTTTGAGCGACGGCAGTTTCCTGGTGGTGAACGCCGACTCTCTGGAGGACATGGTCGGCTTCCACCACCGGAGGGCGCCCATCTCCGACATCCGCTTCTCCCCAGGTCAGTGTGCGGCTCGGGCCGGGACAGGAAGTGAGCGCGGCCGAGCACAGGCTCCATCCACTCTGGCTCCATTTCACTTTGTATTGACAAAACACGACCTTCCGTAAAATAACAAATACACGACGAGTTTCATTTCACCACCGGGTCCTTTTAAACGCAGCATAAACACTGAGTCTAACGCAGTCGAGTCTAACGCAGTCGAGTCTAACACAGTCGAGTCTAGGAGTCGAGTCTAACGCAGTCGAGTCCAGGAGTCGAGTCTAACACAGTCGAGTCTAACGCAGTCGAGTCCAGGAGTCGAGTCTAACACAGTCGAGTCTAACGCAGTCGAGTTCAGGAGTCGAGTCTAACACAGTCGAGTCTAACGCAGTCGATTCTAACACAGTTGAGTCTAACGCAGTCGAGTCTAACACAGTCGAGTCTAACGCAGTCGAGTTCAGGAGTCGAGTCTAACACAGTCGAGTCTAACGCAGTCAAGTCTAACGCAGTCAAGTCTAACACAGTCAAGTCTAACACAGTCGAGTCCAGGAGTCGAGTCTAACGCAGTCGAGTCCAGGAGTCGAGTCTAACACAGTCGAGTCTAACGCAGTCGAGTCTAACGCAGTCGAGTCTAACGCAGTCGAGTCTAACACAGTCGAGTCTTAACGCAGTCGAGTCTAACGCAGTCGAGTCTAACGCAGTCGAGTCTAACGCAGTCGAGTCTAACACAGTCGAGTCGTCTAAAGCAGTCAAGTCTAACGCAGTCGAGTCTAAAGCAGTCAAGTCTAACACTGTCGAGTCTAACGCAGTCGAGTCTAACGCAGTCGAGTCTAACGCAGTCGAGCCTAACGCAGTCGAGTCTAACGCAGTCGAGCCTAACGCAGTCGAGTCTAACGCAGTCGAGCCTAACGCAGTCGAGTCCAGGAGTCGAGTCTAACACAGTCGAGTCTAACGCAGTCGAGTCTAACACAGTCGAGTCTAAACGCAGTCGAGTCTAAAGCAGTCGAGTCTAACGCAGTCAAGTCTAACGCAGTCGAGTCTAACACTGTCGAGTCTAACGCAGTCGAGTCTAACGCAGTCGAGTCTAACGCAGTCGAGCTAACGCAGTCGAGTCTAACGCAGTCGAGCCTAACGCAGTCGAGTCCAGGAGTCGAGTCTAACACAGTCGAGTCTAACGCAGTCGAGTCTAAAGCAGTCGAGTCTAAAGCAGTCGAGTCTAACGCAGTCGAGTCTAACGCAGTCGAGTCTAACGCAGTCGAGCCTAACGCAGTCGAGTCTAACGCAGTCGAGTCTAACGCAGTCGAGTCTAACGCAGTCGAGCCTAACGCAGTCGAGTCGAGTCGAGTCACGCAGTCGAGCCTAACGCAGTCGAGTAACGCAGTCGAGCCTAACGTCCAGTCGAGTCTAACACAGTCGAGTCTAACGCAGTCGAGTCTCAGTCGAGTCTAACGCAGTCGAGTCTAGCAGTCGAGTCTAAAGCAGTCGAGTCTCGAGTCTAACGCAGTCGAGTCTAACGCAGTCGAGCCTAACAGTCGAGTCAGTCGAGTCAGTCTAACGCAGTCGAGTCTAACACAGTCGAGTCCAGGAGTCGAGTCTAAAGCAGTCGAGTCTAACGCAGTCGAGTCTAACGCAGTCGAGTCTAACGAGTCGAGTAACGAGTCGAGACTAACGCAGTCGAGTCTAACGCAGTCGAGTCTACGCAGTCGCGTCTAACGAGTCGAGTCTAACGCAGTCGAGTCTAACGCAGTTGAGTCTAACGCAGTCGAGTCAGGAGTCGAGTAACGCGTCAGTCCGAGCGAGTCTAACGCGAGTCTAACAGTCGAGTCTAACGCAAGTCAGTCGAGTCTAAACGCAGTCTCGCAGTCTAACGCAGTCGAGTCTAAACGCAGTCGAGTCTAACGCAGTCGAGCAGTCGAGTAACGCAGTCGAGTCTAAGCAGTCGAGTCTAACGCAGTCTAACGCAGTCGAGTCTAACGCAGTCGAGTCTAACGCAGTCGAGTCTAACGCAGTCGAGCCTAACGCAGTAACGCAGTCGAGTCTAACGCAGTCGAGCCTAACGCAGTCGAGTCCAGGAGTCGAGTCTAAAGCAGTCGAGTCTAACGCAGTCGAGTCTAACACAGTCGAGTCTAACGCAGTCGAGTCTAAAGCAGTCGAGTCTAAAGCAGTCGAGTCTAACGCAGTCGAGTCTAACGCAGTCGAGTCTAACGCAGTCGAGTCTAACGCAGTCTAACGAGTCGAGTCGAGTCTAACGCAGTCGCGTCTAACGCAGTCGAGTCTAACGCAGTCGAGTAACGCAGTTGAGTCTAACGCAGTCGAGTCCAGGAGTCGAGTTAACGCAGTCGAGTCCAGGAGTCGAGTCTAACGCAGTCGAGTCTAACACAGTCGAGTCTAACGCAGTCGAGTCTAAAGCAGTCGAGTCTAAAGCAGTCGAGTCTAACGCAGTCGAGTCTAACGCAGTCGAGTCTAACGCAGTCGAGACTAACGCAGTCGAGTCTAACGCAGTCGAGTCTAACGCAGTCGCGTCTAACGCAGTCGAGTCTAACGCAGTCGAGTCTAACGCAGTTGAGTCTAACGCAGTCGAGTCCAGGAGTCGAGTCTAACGCAGTCGAGTCCAGGAGTCGAGTCTAACGCAGTTGAGTCTTACACAGTCGAGCCTAACACAGTCGAGTCTAACACAGTCAAGTCCAGGAGTCGAGTCCGCTGTAAATTATAGTCAGACTGGTTAAAAGAATTTGAGGACCAGATTTTCCCAGTTTTGCTGAGAAAGATTTTTGTGAAGAAGAAATTAATCTCCTGGTCCAAGACACCACCTGGTCTCAAATAAAAGCCTGGTCTGTTAAGTGATAAAAACAAATAAATGCCTCGGATATTATTTGATGTTTTACATCCAGATATGAACATTAATAAACCTTTCATGTGTTCAGACTCTTAACCCTTTCGTGTGTTCAGACTCTTAAACCTTTCGTGTGTTCAGACTCTTAAACCTTTCGTGTGTTCAGACTCTTAAACCTTTCGTGTGTTCAGACTCTTAAACCTTTTGTGTGTTCAGACTCTTAAACCTTTCGTGTGTTCAGTCTCTCTTAAACCTTTCGTGTGTTCAGTCTCTTAAACCTTTCGTGTGTTCAGACTCTTAAACCTTTCGTGTGTTCAGTCTCTCTTAAACCTTTCGTGTGTTCAGTCTCTTAACCCTTTCGTGTGTTCAGTCTCTCTTAAACCTTTCGTGTGTTCAGTCTCTTAACCCTTTCGTGTGTTCAGACTCTTAAACCTTTCGTGTGTTCAGTCTCTTAAACCTTTCGTGTGTTCAGTCTCTTAACCCTTTCGTGTGTTCAGACTCTTAAACCTTTCGTGTGTTCAGTCTCTCTTAAACCTTTCGTGTGTTCAGTCTCTTAAACCTTTCGTGTGTTCAGTCTCTCTTAAACCTTTCGTGTGTTCAGTCTCTTAAACCTTTCGTGTGTTCAGTCTTAACCTTTCGTGTGTTCAAACTCTTAAACCTTTCGTGTGTTCAGACTCTCTAACCTTTCGTGTGTTCAGTCTCTTAAACCTTTCGTGTGTTCAGACTCTTAAACCTTTCGTGTGTTCAGACTCTTAACCCTTTCGTGTGTTCAGTCTCTTAACCCTTTCGTGTGTTCAGACTCTTAAACCTTTCGTGTGTTCAGTCTCTTAACCCTTTCGTGTGTTCAGACTCTTAACCCTTTCGTGTGTTCAGTCTCTTAACCCTTTCGTGTGTTCAGACTCTTAACCCCTTTCGTGTGTTCAGACTCTTAACCCTTTCGTGTGTTCAGTCTCTTAACCCTTTCGTGTGTTCAGACTCTTAACCCCTTCGTGTGTTCAGACTCTTAACCCCTTCGTGTGTTCAGACTCTCTTAACCCTTTCGTGTGTTCAGACTCTTAACCCTTTCGTGTGTTCAGTCTCTTAACCCTTTCGTGTGTTCAGACTCTTAAACCTTTCGTGTGTTCAGTCTCTTAACCCTTTCGTGTGTTCAGTCTCTTAACCCTTTCGTGTGTTCAGACTCTTAACCCCTTCGTGTGTTCAGACTCTTAACCCTTTCGTGTGTTCAGACTCTTAACCCCTTCGTGTGTTCAGACTCTTAACCCTTTCGTGTGTTCAGACTCGGGCAGGTATCTGGCCGTGGCGTCTCTGGACTCGTTCGTGGACATCTACAGCGTCCTGACGAGTAAACGAGTGGGCGTGTGCCGAGGAGCGGGGGGCGGAGTCACGCACCTGGACTGGGACTGTCGAGGTACTTCCTGTTCAGTTTAGAGCGCCCCCTGTGGTGAGTGAGTTGAGGTTAGAGCGCCCCCTGTGGTGAGTGAGTTGAGGTTAGAGCGCCCCCTGTGGTGAGTGAGTTGAGGTTCTGACGTGTTTCTGGTTTTTGAGGAAAACTTCTTCAGTTGAACACGACGACCAATCAACAACTTTTCTACGAAGCCCCGAGAGGAAAGAGACAGAACATCAGCCAATCAGAGGTGAGGACTAAACCAGGACTGAACCAGGACTAAACCAGGTCTAAACCAGGACTAAACCAGGTCTAAACCAGGACTAAACCAGGACACACAGACTCTGGGGGGAGGGGGGTTGAGTGTCTTGCCCAAGGACACAGCAGCAGTTTTCTGTTTGGACTCAGGTTCAGAGAATCTGAATCATTTTTGTTGAGTCGGCAAAAATTTTACACAAATTACAAAAAAAATAAAAAAGAAAAGAAAATCAAAACCTGAAAAAATGAAACAGAAACAAAATCTCATGAACTCAAATGAATAATGTGTAATAAATGTTTCATCACAAAACAGAAACAACGACGAAAAAAATACGAGTAGAAAAGTCGACGAGTGGACCTCGTCTGGACAGAATCGTCCTCGTCCTGGACCGGACCTGGACCAATAAACAAGAGCCTAAAAACACGTTTCCTTTGCTCAGTGAGTTTATTCATGGATCACGTCGTTTGTTTGTGTGAGTCGAGTCGAGTCGAGTCGTCGTGACCTGAAGTCCCCGAGTCCAGGGTCAGATGTTTCACTCCAGGTTCACGTCCAAGTGTCAGAGACTCAAATAACGAACAGAATTTACACGACATTTAGTCAGAAACTGAACCTGGACCAACGAACGCGACAGAGACGCGACCTGGACGACCTGGACGACCTGAAGTCCAGTGATGTTTAGTGAAGAGTGAAACGTCACGTGTCAAATCAAACTCCACATGTTCAGAAGCTCGTCTCCACCTGTAGATCACAAATAAAACCCTGAGAGAAAATCCCAGTCACCAGTTTAAACGTCGACTCTGATTCTTGTGGCTGAAGTTCCCGCTGATGTTTCTGTAGAAGAAGAAGTTCCTCCAGGAGCTCAGGACGTCTCCACATCGTCTGTTCCTCTTCACGTGTGAAGGTTGTAAAATAAAGAAAGTGAAAGTGAAAGATCCACACGTGAACGACTCGTGTCAAGTGTCGTTTGTTCCTCGTCGACCTTTGTGTCGTTCACCCATGAAAATCTGCACCAAGAAAAATCGTTTCGACAAAGTGTGAAGTGATTCAGTCAAACAACGACACATTTTTCCTGCTGGTGATTTTACACACGACTCCTGAAGAAACAGTCGCTCTGGCTCCCGAGCGCCTCCAGGACCCGAGCGCCTCCAGGACCCGAGCGCCTCCAGGACCCGAGCGCCTCCAGGACCCGAGCGCCTCCAGGACCCGAGCGCCTCCAGGACCCGACCACAGACGACCAGAAAAACTTTAAAAAGTCGAGAAACTTTAAAGTCCTAACCCTGAGTTTGTGTGAGGTTTTTATTGCTTTTGTAGGCGTTTGCGTTGAGTGTCGCCGTGGTAACCGCTGAACATTCTGCCGTAGACACACATGTAGGGGGCGCTGTAGCGGTGGGCTGTGTTTGTGGGAGGGCATCTGTTGTAAAGGTGTTTGCGTCCCTCAGGTGGAGAAGCTGCGCTGGGCGACGTGGAGCTGCGTCCTGGGGCCGGCGCTGGGCGGGGCCCCGGGGCCCGCGACCCTCAACGCCGCCGCCGTGACCTCTGACCTCTCCCTCCTCGCCACCGGAGACGCCCTGGGATCCATACGACTCTACGACCACCGCACGGTGAACCGGGACTAGACCAGGACTAAACCTGGACTAGACCGGGACTAGACCGGGACTAGACCGGGACCGGGACTAGACCGGGACTAGACCGGGACTAGACCGGGACTAGACCGGGACTAGACCAGGACTAGACCGGGACTAGACCGGGACTAGACCGGGACTAAACCAGGACTAAACCGGGACTAAACCAGGACTAAACCTGGACTAGACCGGGACTAGACCAGGACTAAACCAGGATTAAACCAGGACTAGACCAGAACTAGACCGGGACTAAACCAGGTCTGAACTAGGTCTGTTTTCCCGTGGTTGTGCGCAGGCTCCGGCGGCAACAGCGGTGGCGGCGGGTGCGGCAGGTGCGGCAGGTGCGGGAGCGGCGCGGTGCAGGAGGTACGGCGCTCACGGTGCGATGGTGGCGAACGTGCGATGGACCAATGACGACGCGGCGCTGCTGTCTGTGGGCGGAGCCGACGCCGCGCTCATGATGTGGACCCGAGACTCCGCCCCCTCCAGAGACGGACACGCCCCCGACAGCGAGGACTCCGACCCCGACCCCGACGGAGGCACGACAGATGCCCTTTCACACACCCTCATGTGTGTCCGGTCCCTCCTCGTGTGTGTCAGGTCCCTCCACGTGTGTGTCAGGTCCCTCCACGTGTGTGTCAGGTCCCTCCACGTGTGTGTCAGGTCCCTCCTCGTGTGTGTCAGGTCCCTCCTCGTGTGTGTCAGGTCCCTCACGTGTGTGTCAGGTCCTCCTCGTGTGTGTGTCAGGTCCCTCCCCGTGTGTGTCAGGTCCCTCCTCGTGTGTGTCAGGTCCTCCTCGTGTGTGTCAGGTCCTCCCCGTGTGTGTCAGGTCCTCCTCGTGTGTGTCAGGTCCCTCCTCGTGTGTGTCAGGTCCCTCCTCGTGTGTGTCAGGTCCCTCCTCGTGTGTGTCAGGTCCCTCCTCGTGTGTGTCAGGTCCCTCCTCGTGTGTGTCAGGTCCCTCCCGTGTGTGTCAGGTCCCTCCTCGTGTGTGTCAGGTCCCTCCTCGTGTGTGTCAGGTCCCTCCACGTGTGTGTCAGGTCCCTCCACGTGTGTGTCAGGTCCTCTCGTGTGTCGGTCCCTCCACGTGTGTGTCAGGTCCTCCACGTGTGTGTCAGGGCCCTCCACGTGTGTGTCAGGGCCCTCCACGTGTGTGTCAGGGCCCTCCACGTGTGTGTCAGGGCCCTCCACGTGTGTGTCAGGTCCTCCACGTGTGTGTCAGGGCCCTCCACGTGTGTGTCGGTCCTCCACGTGTGTGTCAGGGCCCTCCACGTGTGTGTCAGGGCCCTCCACGTGTGTGTCAGGTCCCTCCTCGTGTGTGTCAGGTCCCTCCTCGTGTGTGTCAGGTCCCTCTCTTCTCAGAATGTTCCTGATTAAAGTTTTACTCTCAGGCTACGACAGCGACGTTTCCTGGGAGCGAACGCTGGACTTTGGGACCAAAGTCCAGACCAAGATCCAGACCAGACCTCTGCTCCAAGAACCGACTCTGGACCAGGACAGGTACCAGGACTGAACCAGGACTAAACCAGGACTAGACCAGGATTGAACCAGGACTAAAACAGGACTGAATCAGGACTAAACCAGGATTGAACCAGGACTAAAACAGGACTGAATCAGGACTAAACCAGGACTGAACCAGGACTAAACCAGGTCTAGACCAGGTCTCGTCCTCTGGGTCTTGTTGGTCTGAACATGTGAAGTTCTTGTTGTTCCTCAGAGCTGCTGTGAGTCGAGCGGCTCCTCTGCCCCAGAAACTGCTCACGACCAACACGTCCAAGAAGAAACCAGTGCAGGTACGAGACCCCGCCCCCTCACACAGACCCCGCCCCCTCACACAGACCCCGCCCCCTCACAGACAGAGCTCTGTGTTAAGAGTGAAGTTTATTTCTGTGTCGACTCTTCACACTTTGTCGTTTTGTTGCCGTCGTCTTTGATTTCTGGATCTGTGTCGAGGTCGATGAGCCGCCAAAACAGACACACAATATGTGTCCATTCACATAAACGTGTGTCTGTGTGCACCACCTGCACACGTCTAATGTGTGAAAAGTTTCACATGAACCAACAACACGACAGAAACACAGAACAGACTGAACATCAGCACCCCTCTGACACAGAGAGAACACCCCTCTGACACACAGAGAGAACACCCCTCTGACACAGAGAGAACACCCCTCTGACACAGAGAGAACACCCTCTGTCACAGAGAGAACACCCCTCTGTGTCACAGAGAGAACCCCTCTGACACAGAGAGAACACCCCTCTGTCAACAGAGAGAACACCCCTCTGTCACAGAGAGAACACCCTCTGACACAGAGAGAACACCCCTCTGTCACAGAGAGAACACCCCTCTGACACAGAGAGAACACCCCTCTGACACAGAGAGAACACCCCTCTGTCTGTCACACAGAGAGAACACCCCTCTGACACAGAGAGACACAGAGAGAACACCCCTCTGTCACACAGAGAGAACACCCTCTGACACAGAGAGAACACCCCTCTGTCACAGAGAGAACACCCCTCTCACACAGAGAGACACACAGAGAGAACACCCCTCTGTCACAGAGAGAACACCCCTCTGACACAGAGAGAACACCCCTCTGACACACACAGAGAACACCCTCTGTCACAGAGAGAACACCCCTCTGTCAGAGAGAACACAGAGAGAACACCCCTCTGACACAGAGAGAACACCCCTCTGACACAGAGAGAACACCCCTCTGTCACAGAGAGAACACCCCTCTGTCACACAGACACAGAGAGAACACCCCTCTGACACAGAGAGAGAACACCCCTCTGTCACAGAGAGAACACCCCTCTGACACAGAGAGAACACCCCTCTGACACAGAGAGAACACCCCTCTGACACAGAGAGAACACCCCCTCTGACACAGAGAGAACACCCCTCTGACACACAGACAGAGAGAACACCCCTCTGACACAGAGAGAACACCCCTCTGACACAGAGAGAACACCCCTCTGACACAGATACAGAGAGAACACCCCTCTGACACACAGAGAGAACACCCCTCTGACACACAGAGAGAACACCCCTCTGTCACACAGAGAGAACACCCCTCTGTCACAGAGAGAACACCCCTCTGTCACAGAGAGAACACCCCTCTGACACAGAGAGAACACCCCTCTGTCACAGAGAGAGAACACACCCCTCTGAACACACAGAGAGAACACCCCTCTGTCACAGAGAGAACACCCCTCTGACACAGACACAGAGAGAACACCCCTCTGACACAGAGAGAACACCCCTCTGTCACACAGAGAGAACACCCTCTGACACAGAGAGAACACCCCTCTGTCACAGAGAGAACACCCCTCTGACACACAGAGAGAACACCCCTCTGTCACAGAGAGAAACACCCCTCTGTCACAGAGAGAACACCCCTCTGTCACACAGAGAGAACACCCCTCTGTCACACAGAGAGAGAACACCCCTCTGACACAGAGAGAACACCCCTCTGACACAGAGAGAACACCCCTCTGTCACACAGAGAGAACACCCTCTGACACACAGAGAGAACACCCCTCTGACACAGAGAGAAACCCCCTCTGTCACAGAGAGAACACCCCTCTGTCACAGAGAGAACACCCCTCTGACACAGAGAGGAACACCCCTCTGACACAGAGAGAGAACACCCCTCTGTCACACAGAGAGAACACCCCTCTGACACAGAGAGAACACCCCTCTGACACAGAGAGAACACCCCTCTGACACAGAGAGAACACCCCTCTGTCACAGAGAGAACACCCCTCTGTCACAGAGAGAACACCCTCTGTCACACAGAGAGAACACCCCTCTGTCACACAGAGAGAACACCCTCTGTCACACAGAGAGAACACCCCTCTGACACACAGAGAGAACACCCCTCTGACACAGAGAGAACACCCCTCTGTCACAGAGAGAACACCCCTCTGTCACAGAGAGAACACCCCTCTGTCACAGAGAGAGAACACCCCTCTGACACAGAGAGAACACCCCTCTGTCACACAGAGAGAACACCCCTCTGACACAGAGAGAACACCCCTCTGTCACAGAGAGAACACCCCTCTGACACAGAGAGAACACCCTCTGTCACACAGAGAGAACACCCCTCTGACACAGAGAGAGAACACCCCTCTTGACACCCCTCTGTCACAGAGAGAGAACAGAGAGACCCCTCTGACACAGAGAGAGAACACCCCTCTGTCACAGAGAGAACACCCCTCTGACACAGAGAGAACACCCCTCTGTCACAGAGAGAACACCCCTCTGTCACAGAGAGAACACTCATGTTCCACTGAGTCCAACACAAACTGAACCACATCAGACACAAGAAACAACTGTTTTTATCACACATTAGTTTATGTAAATGAATCATGTGATTTAACGTTTAGTTTGAGTCAAACAGAAACAAATGTGTCAAAGTTGAATTAAACTCATTTTTACTCAGTGTTAAATGAAAGTAAAAAAAAGTGGAGAACAGGAAGTGTGTGAAGAGCCGAGGCACAGACGACCAATCACAGCCCTGATCGTCTGTGTCGTTTTGATGCGTCGTTAGAAAATTTGTGAGGTGCACGTCGTCGACGCAGACGATTTGACACTCGACCGTAAATTGGCCTCGACTGTGGCAGAGCTGTCGTCCTCCCTGTCACAGGGAGGTTGTGGGTTAGACTCTGGTGTGTGTGTGTTTGGGTTTGTGGACGACTGTGGACGACTGTGAGGACGACTGTGGACGACTGTGTGGACGACTGTGGACGACGTGTGGACGACTGTGACGACTGTGTGGACGACTGTGTGGACGACTGTGTGGACGACTGTGGACGACTGTGTGGACGACTGTGACTGTGAGGACGACTGTGAGGACGACTGTGTGGACGACTGTGTGGACGACTGTGAGGACGACTGTGAGGACGACTGTGTGGACGACTGTGAGGACGACTGTGTGGACGACTGTGTGGACGACTGTGAGGACGACTGTGTGGACGACTGTGTGGACGACTGTGAGGATGAGCAGGGTTGTTGGACTATTGTTGTTATTGTTGTTGTTGTTGTCGTCGCAGGAGCTGATCCTGGAGCACGTGTTCGGATACCGAGGACTCGACTGTCGGAACAACCTGCACTTCCTGAGCGAGTCCCTGGACCTGGTGCTGCACACGGCTCGAGTCGCCATCGTCCAGAACCTCTCCTCAGGTCAGAACGTGACCGGGCTCCACGCGCTCTGGCTCCTGCTCAGTTTGTGTGTAAAAACTGTGGCCCCTCCCTCTGTACCTGCTGCTCCTGATCCTGATCCTGATCCTGGTCCTGATCCTGGTCCTGATCCTGATCCTGATCCTGGTCTGTTTTTGTTTCAGGGACTCAGAGCTTTTACCTGGAGCACACAGACGACATCCTGAGTCTCACCGTGAACCAACATCCCAAATACTCCAACGTGATTGCCACCGGACAGGGAGGTACTGAACCAGGACTGAACCGGGACTGAACCGGGACTGAACCGGGACTAAACCGGGAACCGGGAACCGGGACTGAACCGGGACTAAACCGGGACTGACTGAACCGGGACTGAACCGGGACTAAACCGGGACTGAACCGGGACTAAACCGGGACTAAACCGGGACTGAACCGGGACTAAACCGGGACTGAACCGGGAGTGAACCGGGACTAAACCAGGACGCTGTTTCTTTGTTTTTCACCAGTATGTTTTGTTTGTTTCTGTTGCTTCCTGAAGGAGACTCGACTGTGGCTCCAGGTAAGGCTCACCTGTGCACAAGCCCCGCCCCATTTAGCACAAGTCCCGCCCCTATCACATTCAAACACTTAAAGTCTCTTTCTGTTCTTGTTCAAATTCAGAAGCTTCAGGTGAGTCATTTTACACTTTTCTGTGTTTGAACCTTGCAGGTGTTCAGATGTATGTTGTGTGTTGGACCTTGCAGGTGCTCAGGTGTGTGTTGGACCTTGCAGGTGTTCAGGTGTGTGTGTTTGAATCTTGCAGGTGTTCAGGTGTGTTGTGTGTTGGACCTTGCAGGTGTTTGGGTGTGTGTTATGTGTTGGACCTTGCAGGTGTTCAGGTGTGTGTTGTGTGTTGGACCTTGCAGGTGCTCAGGTGTGTTGTGTGCTGGACCTTGCAGGTGTTCAGGTGTGAATTGTGTGTTGGACCTTGCAGGTGTTCGGGTGTGTGTTATGTGTTGGACCTTGCAGGTGTTCAGGTGTGTGTTGTGTGTTGGACCTTGCAGGTGCTCAGATCCGGGTGTGGGAGGCAGGTTCGAAGTCGACCCTGTCGGTGTTGCGGTGTCGTCATGGAAACGGCGTCGGCTCCTTGAACTTCAGCGCGACGGGGAAACTGCTCCTGTCGGTGGGACTGGACCCGGAGCAAACGCTGACGGTGTGGCGCTGGCAAGAAGGTACGACCGCGACCGAGACTGCGACCGCCACCGCACCCACGACCGCGAAAACAACCGCACCCATGGGGGGAGGACACAGTGGCGGGCACAGTGGCGGGCACAGTGGCGGGCACAGTGGCGGGCACAGTGGCGGGCACAGAGACAGGCACAGGGGCGGGCACAGGGGGTGGGCACAGACGGGCACAGGGGGCGGGCACAGGGGGCGGGCACAGTGGCGGGCACAGGGGGCGGGCACGGCGGGCACAGTGGCGGGCACAGTGGGCGGGCACAGAGACAGGCACAGGGGGCGGGCACAGGGGGCGGGCACAGACGGGCACAGGGGGCGTGTCTGATGGCTTCTGTGCCGCAGGTTCCGTGGCGGCGAGCAGAGGCGGGCACCGGGAGCGGGTGTTCGTGGCAGAGTTTCGCCCGGACTCAGAATCGCGCTTCGTCTCCGTCGGCGTCAAACACGTGAAGTTCTGGAGCGTCGTGGGCGGAGCTTTGATCTACAAGAAAGGACAGATCGCCGGCGTGGGCGGAGCCAAGAACCAGACCATGCTGGCGCTCGCCTTCGGAGCCGTGAGTCCTCACGACCTCATGACAAATCTGACCCGGATTTAAAAAACTGTTCCAGACTTAGTCCTGGTCTAGTCCCGGTTTTAGTCCTGGTTTTAGACCCGGGTTAGTCCCAGCTTAGTCCTGGTCTAGACTTCTTCTGACCTGGTGTGGAGCAGGATTGTGTTTTGGAGGGTCTAGAGGCTCTTTGAGGTTCTGGTCCTGGTGGTCCTCATAGTCCTGGAGGTTTTGGTGGTTCTTCTGGTTCTTGTGGTTCTTTTGGTCCTGATGTTCCTGATGTTCCTCATGTTCCTCATGTTCTTGGTGTTGTTCCTCCTCAGAACAGCGTGACCTTCACGGGGGCGCTCAGTGGAGACGTGTACGTGTGGAGGGAGCATCTTCTGGAGCGTGTGGTGGAGAAGGCTCACAGCGGCCCCATCTTCAGCATGTTCACCAGCCTCAGCGACGGACTCATCGTCAGTCCATCGTCACCTGGTTTAGCGTTCCAACCTGGTTTAGTCCTGGTTTAGTTTAGACCTGGTTTAGTCCTGGTTTAGTTTACCTGGTTTAGTCCGTTTAGACCTGGTTTAGTTTACCTGGTTTAGACCTGGTTTAGACCTGGTTTAGTCCTGGTTTAGAGTCCTGGTTTAGTTTAGACCTGGTTTAGTCCTGGTTTAGTCCTGGTTTAGACCTGGTTTAGACCTGGTTTAGTCCTAGTTTAGACCTGGTTTAGTCCTGGTCCTTGATGACAGCACACACACACACACACACACACAGATCTTCAGCTGTGTGAGATTAAAAAGCCCCTGGTCCTGGTTTATGGTCCTGGTTCTGGTCCTGGTCCTGGTCCTGGTCCTGGCCCTGGTCCTGGTCCTGGCCCTGGCCCTGGTCCTGGTCCTGGTCTTGATCCTGGTCCTGGTCTGTTTCAGGTCTTCAGAGGGAGGAGCGGTGAAACTTTGGGACCAGGAGATGAAGCGATGTCGAGTGTTTCATCTGGAGACTGGAAAACCCGAGAACGTCCGCTCAGTCTGCAGAGGGAACGTGAGTCCTCCAGACCGAGACCGGGTCTAGACCGGGTCTAGACCAGGTTTAGATCGGGTTTTGACTTGGTTTAGACCGGGTTAAGTCCAGGCTCGAAGTCCAAAACCCAAAACTTGTCTTTAAAAAAACATCAAGAAAAACAAAGAATAACAAACAGTAACAGAGACGGAGAAACTCTGTTCTGTTTCTGTTCAGAACCGACGATGAACCAAAAACCCAGAGATTTTACAAAACGACAAAATATTTAAATGAAAAAACAAAAAACTTTAAAAAATCTGTTAAACTTCAACAAAACGACATTAATCAATTTATCACATTAAACATTAAAACCCAACCACAACTGCAGTCCTGGTCTAGTCCTGGTTTAGTCCTGGTCTAGTCCTGGTCTAGTCCTGGTCTAGTCCTGGTCTAGTCCTGGTTTAGTCCTGGTCTAGTCCTGGTCTAGTCCTGGTCTAGTCCTGGTCTAGTCCTGATCTAGTCCTGGTCCTGGTCTAGTCCTGGTTTAGTCCTGGTCTAGTCCTGGTTAGTCCTTAGTCCTGGTTTAGTCCTGGTCTAGTCCTGGTTTAGTCCTGGTCTAGTCTGGTTTAGTCCTGGTCTAGTCCTGGTCTAGTCCTGGTTTAGTCCTGGTCTAGTCCTGGTTAGTCCTGGTCTAGTCTGTTTAGTCTGGTCTAGTCTAGTCCTGGTTTAGTCCTGGTCTAGTCCTGGTTTAGTCCTGGTCTAGTCCTGGTCTAGTCCTGGTTTAGTCCTGTCTAGTCTGGTCTAGTCCTGGTCTAGTCCTGTCTAGTCCTGGTTTTAGTCCTGGTCTAGTCCTGGTCTAGTCCTGGTCTAGTCCTGGTCTAGTCCTGGTCTAGTCCTGGTCTAGTCCTGGTTTAGTCCTGGTCTAGTCCTGGTCTAGTCCTGGTCTAGTCCTGGTCTAGTCCTGGTCTAGTCCTGGTCTAGTCCTGGTTTAGTCCTGGTCTAGTCCTGGTTTAGTCCTGGTCTAGTCCTGGTTTAGTCCTGGTCTAGTCCTGGTTTAGTCCTGGTCTTTAGTCCTGGTCTAGTCCTGGTCTAGTCCTGGTCTAGTCCTGGTTTAGTCCTGGTCTAGTCCTGGTCTAGTCCTGGTCTAGTCCTGGTTTAGTCCTGGTCTGTTTCAGGGCAGGATCCTGGTCGGGACGAGGGACGGTGACGTCGTTGAACTCGGGGAGAAAAACTCGACGTCGAACGTGCTCCTGACCGGACTCGGCGCCGCCCCCGTGTCCGGCCCCGGTACGACGCCGTCTGTGGCCCCTCCCCCTGTGGGCGGGGCCGCGGCGGTGGGCGGGGTCTGGGGCCTGGACACTCATCCAATCAGAGAGCTCCTGGCGACGACCGGAGACGACGCCGCGCTGAGGATCTGGGACCTCAGCGAGAAGGTTTGCATGTTCTGCATGTGTGTGTAGTTTGTGTAGTTTGCATGTTCTGCGTGTGTGTGTAGTTTGTGTAGTTTGCATGTTCTGCGTGTGTGTGTGTGTGTGTAGTTTGTGTAGTTTGCATGTTCTGCGTGTGTGTGTAGTTTGTGTAGTTTGCATGTTCTGCGTGTGTGTGTAGTTTGTGTAGTTTGCATGTTCTGCATGTGTGTGTGTGTGTGTAGTTTGTGTAGTTTGCATGTTCTGCGTGTGTGTGTGTAGTTTGTGTAGTTTGCATGTTCTGTGTGTGTGTGTGTAGTTTGTGTAGTTTGCATGTTCTGCGTGTGTGTGTGTAGTTTGTGTAGTTTGCATGTTCTGCGTGTGTGTGTAGTTTGTGTAGTTTGCATGTTCTGCGTGTGTGTGTAGTTTGTGTAGTTTGCATGTTCTGCGTGTGTGTGTTGCAGAAGCTGCTGAGCCGTGTGAGTTTGGGTCGTGTGGCTCTGAGCTGCAGCTTCAGCTCCAGCGGGGACCTGGTGGCTCTCGGCCTCGACCACGGCGAGGTCCTCGTCCTGACCACCCACAACCTGCAGCTGTGGGGCCGCCGCCGGGACCGCAGCGGAGCCATACAGGCGCTCAGGTGAGACCGTACAGGCGCTCAGGTGAGACCGTACAGGCGCTCAGGTGACACCGTACAGGCGCTCAGGTGAGACCGTACAGGCGCTCAGGTGAGACCGTACAGGCGCTCAGGTGAGACCGTACAGGCGCTCAGGTGACACCGTACAGGCGCTCAGGTGACACCGTACAGGCGCTCAGGTGAGACCGTACAGGCGCTCAGGTGACACCGTACAGGCGCTCAGGTGAGACTGTACAGGTGAGAGCTGTTCAGCTGGTCTTTGGTCTCTGGTCTGATCTGATCCTTGGTCTGATCCTTGGTCTGATCCTTGGTCTGGTCTCTGGTCTAGGTTCAGTCCGGACGACAGGTTCTTGGCCGTCGGGTTCTTGGATCCTCTGGTGGATTTCTACGACCTGAGTCTGGGTCCTGGTCTGAAGGTCCTGGGTCCTGGACCCAGTCCTGGTCTGAAGAGTCCTGGTCCTCCAGTCCTAGTCCTGGTCCTAGTCCTGGTCTAGTCCTGGTCTAGTCCTGGTCCTAGTCCTAGTCCTGGTCTAGTCCTGGTCTAGTCCTGGTCTAGTCCTGGTCTAGTCCTGGTCTGGTCTAGTCCTGGTCTAGTCCTGGTCTAGTCCTGGTCTAGTCCTGGTCTAGTCCTGGTCTAGTCCTGGTCCAGTCCTGGTCTGGTCTAGTCCTGGTCTAGTCCTGGTCTAGTCCTGGTCCAGTCCTGGTCCAGTCCTGGTCTGGTCTAGTCCTGGTCTAGTCCTGGTTCAGTCCTGGTCTCTGTTCTGTTGGCAGGTGTGCACCGGCGCCCTCTGTCGACAGGTGCTGCAGGTGCCGAGTGGGCGACAGGTGCTCGGCGGCGTCAGGGTCACGTGGGCGACTTGGACCAGGTGAGTCTCTCGTCCCTCGGACTCGACTCGCAGACGGAAAGGTCTGGACGGTGTCTGAGTCATCTAGAGATCTCTCCTGGAGTTTCCTCACTGGGACGCTCTGCAGGGGGAGTGGGTCAGCACAGAGAGGACAGATGGATCGAAACGTTTGTGTTTTTGTGCAGCGTCGTCGGGGAGGAGGTGCAGGGGGCGTGGCCTCCAGCCCCAGAGGTCACAGAGGTCACAGAGGTCACAGAGGTCACCGAGGTCACGACCCTGAGCGCGTCTCACTCCGGAGTCTCTGTGGCGACCGGAGACGATCGAGGACTCGTCCACCTGTACGGCTTCCCCCCACAACAGGTGCGGTCCTGTCTGATCCTCTGGTCTAGTCCTGGTTTAGACCTGGTTTAGTCCTGGTTTAGTCCTGGTTTAGTCCTGGTTTAGTCCTGGTTAGTCCTGGTTTAGACCTGGTTTAGTCCTGGTTTAGTCCTGGTTTAGTCCTGGTTTAGTCCTGGTTTAGTCCTGGTTTAGACCTGGTTTAGTCCTGGTTTAGACCTGGTTTAGTCCTGGTTTAGTCCTGGTTTAGCTGGTTTAGACCTGGTTTAGTCCTGGTTTAGACCTGGTTTAGTCCTGGTTTAGTCCTGGTTTAGACCTGGTTTAGTCCTGGTTTAGTCCTGGTTTAGACCTGGTTTAGTCCTGGTTTAGACCTGGTTTAGTCCTGGTTTAGTCCTGGTTTAGACCTGGTTTAGTCCTGGTTTAGTCCTGGTTTAGTCCTGGTTTAGTCCTGGTTTAGTCCTGGTTTAGTCCTGGTTTAGTCCTGGTTTAGACCTGGTTTAGTCCTGGTTTAGTCCTGGTTTAGACCTGGTTTAGTCCTGGTTTAGTTTAGTCCTGGTTTAGTCCTGGTTTAGTCCTGGTTTAGACCTGGTTTAGTCCTGGTTTTAGTCCTGGTTTAGTCCTGGTTTAGTCCTGGTTTAGTCCTGGTTTAGTCCTGGTTTAGTCCTGGTTTAGTCCTGGTTTAGTCTTGATCCGCCCTTAAAATTCCAGAACATTCAAACTCGCCCGTTTCAGGGACTGTTTTCCGTATCCGTCGGTGCTGGAGTCTGTGTCCACATATAAACGTATCGTCTTTATTAACTGGACGGAGATAAGATTTTATTCACACTCATAATGTTTGTTAATTATACGTGATTTTACTTTATTAAGGGAAAAAAACCTGAGGTGTTTAATGTTTGTGTTAATAGATTTAAACCTCATTAAACACAAATGTGTTGCAGTTGTACTTAATTCACAAACACTTAATACAAATTCTAACTTAATACACTTTAACATCAAATAAATGATAAAAAGCAAAATGTGACGTGTGAAAACAGTGAAGATGAGCAGCTGCAGCAGGAGCTGAATGTGAATTGAAACTTTGACATTTACCGCTGCAGCTCCTGGTGTGAATTCGGGGTTAACGAAGCGTCGTCTTCGTCTGGAGAACGAAGCCCCAGAGTCTGAAGCGCCGAGATCGTTCACAAGTCCCCAATACGATACAAATCGATACGATACGGTTCAATAAAATCTTCTGACCAGAGGGACCAGAGTTTGGTGTTTGGTCCAGAGTCAAGTGACCGAGACCGGCTCTTTTTTTAAAGTCTCAGTCCCTTTGATTTAGTGCAGATCTGAGTGCGACTGAAACGTCCACACCAACAAAAAAACAATAAAAAACACCAACAAAAAAACAACAAAAAACACCAACAAAAAACAATAAAAAACACCAACAAAAAACAATAAAAAACAACAAAAAAACAACAAAAAAACAATAAAAAACAACAAAAAACACCAACAAAAAAACAATAAAAACCAAAACAAACACATGTACCACCTGCTGCTGTCATGTACCTCACTGTCTGCTCTGTCTGCTCCTGTCTGCTCCTGTCTGCTCCTGTCTGCACCTGTCTGCTCCTGTCTGCTCCTGTCTGCTCCTGTCTGCACCTGTCTGCTCCTGTCTGCTCCTGTCTGCTCCTGTCTGCACCTGTCTGCTCCTGTCTGCTCCTGCTCCTGTCTGCACCTGTCTGCTCCTGTCTGCTCCTGTCTGCACCTGTCTGCTCCTGTCTGCTCCTGTCTGCACCTGTCTGCTCCTGTCTGCACCTGTCTGCTCCTGTCTGCACCTGTCTGCTCCTGTCTGCACCTGTCTGCACCTGTCTGCTCCTGTCTGCTCCTGTCTGCTCCTGTCTGCACCTGTCTGCTCCTGTCGCAGGGCTCCTGTCGGGCGTCTGGAGGTCACTCTGGGCGCGTGCGCTCGGTCAAGTTCTCGTGTGGAGACCGACTCGTGGTGAGCGCCGGAGCCACGGACGGAAGGTGAGAAGAGCCAAAGAATCGAGAATCACACACCAACCGATACTCAGACCGATATCCACACTCAGACCAAATAATTATCATGGTATCTGTATCGAGTATCGGTTTGTGTCTCAGAGCCGATATTTCTGATTGAAGTTCCTGAGCTCAAAATAATTCAGTTGCTGTTTTATTGTCTGAGAATCAGGAAGTGTGTGTCAGCATGCTAGTTGTTGCTCATCGTTCTCTGTCTCACCTTTGACCTTTGACCCTTTCAGTGTGATGCTCTGGAGGTGTGTGTGAGCAGCTCCCGGGGGCCACAGTCCGGGTCCCAGTCCCAGTCCGGGTCCCAGTCCGGGTCCCAGTCCGGGTCCCAGTCCGGGTCCCAGTCCGGGTCCCAGTCCAGGTCTGGGTTCTTATTCTCGGCAACATCTGAAAAAGTCGACCACATCTGGAGCTTCGTTTCTGTTCAAGACAAAACCTTTCCCCGGACTAAACCAGGACTAAACCAGGACTAAAACAGAACTAAACCAGGACTGAACCAGGACTAGACCAGGACTAGACCAGGACTAGACCAGAACTGAACCAGGACTAGACCAGGACTAGACCAGGACTGAACCAGGACTAGACCAGGACTGAACCAGGTCTGAACCAGGACTAGACCAGGACTGAACCAGGTCGAGTCCAGGTAGAGGAGGGAAGTACTGAAGTACTCAGTTACATTTACTTAAGGAACTTTTAAACTTTTGGAGTAACTTTAAATGCTGTACGTTTACACCAACTTGAGTTATATTTGATTTAAGTAACAGTACTTGAGTATTGTACAGAGTAAAAGTACTTTTACTCGAGTAACTGTGGTCCTTCCTCCTGCTTTGAGTCTGAGGTACAAAAGCTCCGGTCCGGTCCGGGTCCGGGTCCGGGTCCGGGTCCGGGTCTTGTGGTTTAGTCGAGTTTGTGTCTAGTGGAAAAATAAAAGTCGATTTTTGGAGCCAAAGACGTTTTTGTTTTTCACACACACAACACAATCACACACACACACACACACACACACACAACACACACACACACACAGACACACACACACACAAACACACACACACACACACACACACACACACACACACAATACAACACACACAACACACACACAGACACACACACACACACACACACACACACACACACACACACACACACACACACACACACACACACACACACACACACACACACACACAGACACACACACACAGCACACACACACACACACACACACACACACACACACACACAGACACACACACACACACACACACACACACAACACACACACACACACACACACACACACACACACACACAACACACACACACACACACACACACACAACACACACACAGAGAGAGAGGTTTGTGTTTGTGCGTTTATGATCAAATAAATCTTGGTCCGTTCACAAAAACATTTGTTGTTCCAGAATCAAACAAAACGATTCACAATTAAATTCATGACGCACAAAAAAACGGACGCACAATCACAAAAACATTTCTCCCGTCAGAAGGAAACGTGACGCGACTCGTGTCATGTGCGTTTGTGCGTTTGTGTTTGTGAAAGTCGTTCTGTTTGATCCTAAACAAACCAACGTGTCTCAGTGTGTGAGACAAAATGTGGACACACAAACGTCCAAAGAGCCGACGTGACGCACAACTTTAATACAAAACATTTCAACAATTCAGTCACAAGTGTCCCTCTGCTGTCCCCGTCCCCGTCTGTCCCCGTCTGTCCTCGGTGGCTCAGGACGCGTCTCCGGAGTCTGTCCTCGGTGGCTCAGGACGCGTCTCCGGAGTCTGTCCTCGGTGGCTCAGGACGCGTCTCCGGAGTCTGTCCTCGGTGGCTCAGGACGCGTCTCCGGAGTCTGTCCTCGGTGGCTCAGGACGTGTCTCCGGAGTCTGTCCTCAGTGGCGAAGGCTTTCTTGCAGACTGAACAGCTGAAGGGTTTGTCTCCGGTGTGGATGGCGAGGTGTTTCTTGAGGGCGCCGCTCTGGGTGAATCCTTTGTCGCAGAAGGGACAGCTGAAAGGTTTGTGCTGGGAGTGCGTGGCCAGGTGGACGCTCACGTAGCTTTTCTCGGCGAAGCGTTTGCCGCAGGTGGGGCAGGCGTAGGGTCGCAGCCCGCTGTGCTTCATCATGTGTTTGCGCAGGTTGGTGTTCTGGGTGTAGCCTTTGCTGCACACGGCGCACACGAAGCGTTTGTCCCCCGTGTGCAGCTCGATGTGTTCCTTTAACGTGCTCTTGTCGGCAAAGCCTTTGTCGCAGAAGGGACAGCTGAAAGGTTTCTCGCCCGTGTGGATCATCATGTGTCGTTTGAACTGACTCTCAAACAGAAAACCCTTGTTACACTCGGAGCAGCTGAAAGGTTTCTCTTCCCAGTGGTTCTTCAGGTGTTTGTTTAAGAGGCTGTTTCTGGCAAACGTCTTGGAGCAGATGGCGCAGGTGGTGGGTTTGTCGTCACGGTGACTCTTGAAATGTTCTGCCAGAGACTTTTTACTTTTGAAGCGGCGTTCGCAGACGGAGCAGGCGAACGTGTCGGACGAGTGGAGCAGCATGTGGTTTCGTAAAACGTATTTGCGAGCGAAGCCTTTCCCGCACTCGGGGCACTGGTGTTTCTTCAGACTCCTCCCGTGCGCCCGGGCGGCGTCCGACCGCTCCGGCGCCCCGTCTCCGCCCGGTCTCTGATTCTGGCAGGTTTTGGCGGGGCTGGGGCAGAGGTTGTGGCGGACGCGGAGGTGTCGGTCCAGACTGGACTTTTGTTTAAAGGAGCTGTCACAGACGGGGCACTTTTGGGGACGCTCGTCCGTGTGAACAAACATGTGCGTCTTTAAGTTTGAAGAGCGTGAAAACCTCTTCCCGCACACTGAACAGCTGAAAGGTCTGACGGCCGCCCGCTCCTCGGCCGCCGTCGGGTCGGCGCATTTGTGTTTCTCTAAACTCTGTTTGTACGCAAAAGCCTTATCGCAAACTGAACACACGAAAGGTTTTTCCCCCGTGTGCACCCTCATGTGAGTCTTTAAGATGTTTTTGAGTCTGAAACTTTGGTCACAAACTGAGCACCTGAAAGGTCTCTGTCCCGTGTGAATCAGCACGTGTCTCTTTAAGTCGGCAGAACGCCCGAAGCCCATCCCGCACCACGAACACCTGCAGGGCTTCCCCTTCACCCCCACAGAGAAGTCCAGATCCAGCTCTGCTCCTGTGGCTGTGTGCTCCCACTGCAGAGCCCAGTCCTCCCTCTGCTCCTCGCTGTCTGAACAGCTGTATGGTCTCTGGTCCTCGGGCTCATCTCTGTGATGAAGAACAGACGACTTGTCCTCCTCCTCCTCGGTTTGGACGGAGCCTGAGTGAAGCTCCTCTGGACTCTCACTGTACAAAAACACACACCACAACACACACACACACACACACACACACATACACACACACAACACACACACACACAACACACACCACACAACACACACACACATACACACACACACACACACACAGAGAGGATCAGATTATTGTCATGAATTAAACCTGCCTGTGTGTGTGTGTGCGTATGTGTGTGTTGTGTGCGTGTTGTGTGTTTGTGTGTTGTGTGTTTGTGTGTTGTGTGTGTGTGTGTGTGTGTGTTTGTGCGTCTCTTTTGGAGCTAAATTTTAAAAACAATTATCTGTGTTTTGGCAAAACAAATATATAATATCCCTCTATACCTCTTTAGTCCTGATTTTGACCTGGTTTAGTTCTGGTTTAGTCCTGGTTTAGTCCTGGTTTAGTCCTGGTTTAGTTCTGGGTCTGGGGACGTGTCGTCGCTTTAAGCCGGATGCCCAAACACACTGAACCCGCCCCGAGTCTCCCGCAGCCCCGCACCGACCTGCGCTGCTCCTCGGGGCCCCGGCGCTGCTCCTCGGGGCCCCGGCGCTGTTCCTCCAGTGTGACTTGTGCCATGTGTCAGGGCCCGGTCTCCGCGGGGCCGTGAGCCGCACTTGGCCCGGGGGAGCCGCGGGGAGCCGCGGGGAGCCGGGGGGAGCCGGGTTTAGCCCTGTTTCGCCCGGGTTAGCTCCAGAGCTAATCACAGGGGTCCTGCGGGGCTGTCCGGGCTCGTGCCTGATTAAAAGTCAAACCCGCTGTGACCGCGGGGGGCGCTGCACGTGCACAAGAACCAAACAACAACACACACACATGACACACACACACACAACACACACACAACACACACACACAACACACACACAACACACACACACAACACAACACACACACAACACACACATGACACACACACACAACACACACACAACACAACACACACACACAACACACACATGACACACACACACACAACACACAAACACAACACACACAGTCTGTGACTCGGGTCGTTTCTTTCTTCAGTTTCATCAAAACTTTGAGATTTTAAAGTTTTTCAGTTTCTGTTGAAATGTTCATTAAAATCGTTACGTTTTAAAAAAATATAAAATATTCTACAGAAACTCGGACGTTTCTTTTGACTCTGAGTTTCCAAAGCCGCCGCCGCCACATTCTATTTATATTTCAGTATATTACGAGTCAGATCTGTGGAGGCGAGATTCAGTGACAGAAACACGACGATGTGAAAACAGGTGAAGAGTAAAGTCACAGTACGGAACATTCCAGGAGAACGAGCAGAAAAACACAGAGCAACTTTAATATTCAGACGCTCCGAGGCTCCAGAGTTTTACCCTGAACCTCAGGAGGAAAAACCCTGAAACTGTTTTTAATAAAAGAGCAGAAGATTTCAACTTTTATTAAAACATCAAAGTTTCAGATTCAGACAAAAGAAAATCCACAGGTTTTTATCAAAACGGGATTTTAATCATGTTCAGACGCCACAGAAGTGAGACCCGAGAGACTCGAGTGACCAGAGTGACCCGAGTTCAGACTGGAGGGTTTCCTGCCTCTCTGATTGGTCAGAGTGGTCACATGGTGCAGATAAAGCTAAAGTGCGGCCCGTGGGCCAAACTGGGCCGCTGCAGTGAGAGTGTGCGGCCCGAGAGTTTAAAACGTGTTTTTATTTTGGACAAATCTGAGCCCGAGCAGCAGAGAAAATCACATTTATGATCAAACCCCGACACTCAGGTCACCCTCAGGTCACCCTCAGGTCACCCTCAGGTCACCCTCAGGTCACACTCAGGTCACACTCAGGTCACACTCAGGTCACACTCAGGTCACACTCAGGTCACACTCAGGTCTCACTCAGGTCTCCGGCGGTGTCTTGCCCTCGGCTCTCGTCTTGTGGATTCTCACGTGTCTTTTATACGAAGCGAGAAAAGAAAAGTGTTTGTCACAGACTGAACACCTGAAGGGTTTCTCTCCCGTGTGCACCCTCATGTGCTTCTTCACGTTTCCTTTATCAGTGAACTCTTTGTCACAGAAGGGACAGCTGAAAGGTTTTTCTCCGGTGTGAATCCGCTCGTGTCTCCTGAAGTTACTCACGTCCACGAAGCCCTTGTCGCAGACGGAGCACCTGTAAGGTCTCTGTCCCGAGTGGATCAGGACGTGTTTCCGGAGGTCAGAGATGAACTGAAAGGCTTTTCCGCACTCGGAGCAGGAGTGCGGCTTCTCTCCGGTGTGAACCAGGACGTGTTTCTTTAAAGCCGAGTTAAAGCGAAACCTCTTCCCGCACTCCGAACACCTGAAAGGTTTATCCTTCCCCCCCGTCTCGGAGGAACCCGGAGGGGGCCGGACCCCGGGGGCCACGCGGGGGTCCCAGCGCGGAGGCCGGTCCCCCCTCCGCTCCTCGGGCCGTTCTTCCCTCCGCTCCTCGCCGTCTGAACAGCTGTAGGGTCTGCGGTGGGCGTGGAGGCGGGGGGGCGGAGCTGAGCTGCAGCCCGCGGCTCCGTGCGGCTCCTGCAGGTGCTCCTCAGGGCGACACGACTCGTCACCGTCGCCTCGAGTCTTTGGTTCCTCCTGAAGTCTGGGCGCAAACTGAACACCTGCAGGAGGAGGACAGAGTTACACAACTGTCCACATGTGACAACTACACACACACACACAACACACAAACACACACACAACACACACTGTTAACTGTACTCAGCTGTATGACCTGTAGTCGAGTCTGTATGACCTGAGTTGTGGCATTTTTCTCTTTGTTTCTCTGAATTGTTCTCGTCAAACTTTTCAAACTGAAGCTGAACCAGAAGCTCCAGACGTCTCCAGCGGCTCCGGGTCGTCGCGCTCCGGGTCGTCGCGCTCCGGGTCGTCGCGCTCCGGGTCGTCGCGCTCCGGGTCGCATCTTTATCACAGTTTGATTTGTTTCTTTTCTGACCTCAGACGTTTCAGAAACTTCTTCATTATGACAAACACGACCTGAAGCACCGAGTCCCTCTGGTCATTCACTCCAGTCCTGACCAGACTCGGCCCTGCTCCGCTTCTGACACCCGACAGGACCAGGAGTTTGACTAGACTCGCCTGAGAACCTGAGTGTGACTAGACTCGCCTGAGGACCTGAGTGTGACTAGACTCGCCTGAGGACCTGAGTTTGCAGAATGACAGGAGGTAAAATTCAGAGGTTTTAGACTCATGGACGATTCACACGAGACGAGAAACAAAAACACGAGGGACTCGAGGGACTCGAGGGACTCGAGGGGACACAGGGGGACATTACGAGGGGACAGTTGTACCTCTGTGTCTGTCGTCCAGCTCCATCGCTCCAGCTCCGGCAGGAGCTTCACCTGTCGGTCCTGCAGGAAACAAACAAGAGTCAGACAAAAGACCAGAGTCCAGAGTCCAGAGACCAGAGACCAAAGACCAGAGACCAGAGACCAGAGACCAAAGAGACCAAAGACCAGAGACCAAAGACCAAAGACCAGAGACCAGAGACCAAAGACCAAAGACCAAAGACCAGACCAAAGACCAGAGACCAAAGACCAGAGACCAAAGACCAGAGTCCAGAGTCCAGAGTCCAGAGACCAGAGACCAAAGACCAGAGACCAGAGACCAGAGACCAGAGACCAAAGACCAAAGACCAAAGACCAGAGACCAGAGTCCAGAGACCAAAGACCAAAGACCAGAGACCAAAGACCAGAGACCAGAGACCAGAGACCAAAGACCAGAGACCAAAGACCAAAGACCAAAGACCAGACCAAAACCAGAGACCAAAGACCAGAGACCAAAGACCAGAGTCCAGAGTCCAGAGTCCAGAGACCAGAGACCAGAGACCAGAGACCAAAGACCAAAGACCAGACCAGAGTCCAGAGTCCAGTCCGTGCGGCGGTACCTTCTGTCTGTGTCTCTGTGTCGGTTCCGGGTCTTGAGTCTTGGTCCGTGGTTCAGTTTTTTTCTTGGGTCTTGTTCGGGTCTAAAGTCGCGCGCCTCGGTCCCCCGCAGCTCCGCCGTGTCCCCCGCGTCCGCAGAGACATCGTGTCCCACCGCCCGGTCCTCTGTCCCCCGCTGTCCTCTGTCCCCGGTCCCGGTTCGTTCAGCGCAGTTTTAGCTCCGGAGCTAAACCAGAACCAGGGCCAGACCGGATGTTGTGGTTTTGGAGAGAGCACGTGACTTCCGGGTTGTGGGCGTGCGCAGTGAGAAAGATTGGCACTTTTTGTTTGTTTGTTTGTTTGTTTTGTGTTTGTCTGAAAACTTCATAAAATTAAGGAGAAAAAAAAGATGACCACGCTGTTTGTGTCTTCAAAACGTCACAAAATTAATAAATAAAATAAAATAAGGTTGACACACTTTTTGTCTTGTGTTTGTCTCTGTGGTGTCTTAAAACTTTATAAAAATTAATCAAATAAATAAATAAAATAAAAATAAAAACATTGGCACTGTTTTGTGTCTCGTATTTGTCACCAAAAAAACTTCACAAAATTCTGAAAAAAAAAGAAAAAGGTTGTGACACAGTTTTATCGGAGTCACTTTACAAAACAACAACAAATAACTTTTTTTTATCATTCTCGTTGATTCCAGCCAAACATTTTATTCATAAATGTCAATATTTTTATTCAAATATAAAATCTTTGTTCTAAATTTATCTTCATGAATTTTTACAATTTAAGAGAAACTGGTGCCGTGTTAAATCTAAACAAGAAACTGAAATGAATCTTGTGCATTTATTTGTTGTTTTGTGTTTTTTGTCTTTAGTTATTTTATAATAATAATAAAAAAAAAAAAAAAAAAACAGGGCACACGAGGCGTCGGCTAAAGCTCCTCTTTTGTGGTGATTCGATATTTTTAATAAATGAAAAAAAAACACGAGGCACATGTCAACACTTCAGCAATATTATTATTATTATTATTATTATTATTAATATTAATAATGATAATAATAATAATAATAATTTTATCTTATTATTATTTATTTATTTATTTAATTATTATTTATGATTCTAATCTGATGAGTGAGGTCATTTTTGGAGCAAATAAAAAAGCGCTGACAGAAAAAAAAAGGAAGTGTGTGTGAAGAAGCGTTGGGAAACATCAGGACTTAAAATTGGACTTCCTGGAGTTTTCCAGAACTGTTACCATAACAACCGAGTGGGACACTGAGCCCAAACTCCTCCGATGTCCCAGATTATTACGAGACAAACACAAATGTTTAAAAAAAAACACTTTTATTTTGTTGGAATCAGGTTTAAAGTGCCACAAAAATGTTTCTGTGTAAAATGTGACAAAATGTGTTTGGACAAAATTCTCAAAACATTTTTCTTCACAAATTTCTTCTTGATTTATGTAAAACTCATTTATATTTTCTCAGCAGATTCAGAACCATAAAAACCAGCTTCACTCTAACCCTGGTCCCATTGGTCCGTCCCGTCGGCGCTCTGAGTGACGGCCGGAGTCGACCAATCACAGTGAAGTGTGAACGGTCAGAAGAAACAGCAGCAGAAGAAGAAACAGACGCCTGTGGGCTCCTGTTCAGAACAAACGTTCACATGAATCGTGAATCATCTGAAATCCCGCGTCCTAAAAACGCTGCTTCTGTTTGGTTTTCTCAACTTCACTTCTGTAGAACAAAGATCAAAGGAGCAGAAACAAGAAAAGAAGAGACAAGAAAAACGTTTCCAACACGGAAGGAAAGTGTCTGATTATTGTTCACAGAGAAGCACGTTCACATGAGGTTTTTATTCTGAATTCAAATCTTCTCTTGTAGTTTCCATGTAAATAATAATAATAATAATAATGTTGAATTGTTGTTTCTGTTAAACTGGTGAAATGTTTTTTATTTCATGTGTGTGAGCGTCTGGGGGCAGGTTCTGATTGGACAGAAACACCAACAGATTTACGTCTTTGGGAAGAAAATATAGAAAATGTTAATTGTTGTGCAGTGGCTGAAGAATCGTCTCGTCACACTTTCCGTCTGTGAGCTGAGGAGGAGAAGGGAAGAAGAAGACAAAAGCTCAGCCCACTCCCGCATCCCACTCACAAATCCAAAGAGACGTGGATCAAAGTCCCGAGACAGAACTGGACCAGGACCAGGACCAGAAGGACGACACGACGAGCCTGAAGCACCAGCAGCATTTTAACAACAACAAACCACAAACAGGATCCACCAAACAAACTCAGTCACATTTAACATCAGAGCAAAACAAACTCTTACTTCACTGTGAAGATTCATTCACAATCAACATTTTCATTTGGAATTAAGTGGATTTTTTATTCAGAACAAAATTATTTTTATTCAGAATTAAATCTCTCATGTAAACGTGGGCAGTGCAGCTCAGAGAACTCGGCTCCGTCACATTAAAGTCCAGCAGAGTTTCAGACAGAGCAGTGCCTACAGTTAGCGTCACAGGCCCAGAGCGTGTGGATGAAGCGCGGTCGGTGTTGCGTCCGCGGCGGCGAGCGTCCTGTGCTTTTTGGCGTGTTTCCGAAGTGAACTCTTGTCCGTGTAAGATCTGTGACATAGTGAACAGCTGAAGGGTTTCTCCCCCGTGTGCTGCCGCACGTGAATCACCAGGAACGACCTCTGCACGAAACGTTTGGCACAAAACGGACAGCTGAAAGGTTTCTCGCCCGTGTGGACCTTCATGTGCTTCTTCATCCTGGCTTTGGACGTAAAGTCGTTCTTACAAACCGAACACCTGAATGGTTTCTCTCCCGTGTGTGTTCTGAGGTGTTCTGTCAGAGTCCTGCTCCGTAAGAACGCCTTCTCACAAACTGAACAGCTGTAAGGTTTCTCTCCGCTGTGGATTTTCAGATGTTGGTTAAAGTGACTGGTGTTTTTGAAGCATTTCCCACAGAAAGAGCATTTGTGAGGCCGCTCTTCGTCTTCCTCAGTGTCAGAGTCTTCCTCACTGTCGGAGCAGCTGTATGGTCTCTGGTCGGAGCTGCAGCCTGCTCCTGCTCCTGCTCCACACTTCTCTCCGTTCGTCTCCTCTCGGTTCTCTTCAGTTTTCACAGGAGCAAAAGACGAGAAGTGAAAATCTGAAAAACACACAAAGTTTGAATATTGACCAGTCAAAGTTATGCTCCTCTGACCTCTGACCCTCGGACTGGACTGTGTGGACCTCAGAGTTCTTCAGGCTGGTCAGAGTCTCCAGAGTTTCTTCTGCTGTTCGAGCTCAAGGTGTTTGTGTTTTTCTGGTTTATTCAAAATCTCATTTTTGTTCATTTGTCAGATTCTGTTTTAAACACGAACAGTGAGTTTATAACCAGGACACTCATTTGCTCCTGTCGCAGGGACAGGGTTTGCTCCTGTCGCAGGGACGTGAGTTTCTCGGTGTTTCAGTCGTACAGAAACAGCAGATCCACAAAACTGATAGAACCAGGATCAGGAATGTTTCCATTCACATCAGTGTCCCGGGACACTCTGCGACAGGAGCAAACGTGTGTCCTGGTTATAAACTCACTGTTTGTGTTTAAAACAGAATCTGACAAATAAACAAAAATTAGATTTTTTTAATAGACCAGAAAAACACAAACACCCTGAGAGATTCAAGACTTTAATTCAACTTTGACACATTTGTTTAAGTTTTACACAAACTAAACGTTAAATCACATGACTCATTTACATAAACTGATGTGTGATAAAAACAGTTGTTTCTTATGTCTGATGTGGTTCAGTTTGTGTTGGACTCAGTGGAATATGAGTGTTCTCTCTGTGACAGAGGGGTGTTCTGCTGATGGTGAGTCTGTTCTGTGTGTGTGTGTGTCTGTGTGTGTGTCTGTCACACACACACAGACACACACACACACGTGACACACATAAGAACCTCACCTGGTTTGGGTTCCATTGTGCAAACGGATCTTCTCCCGGTTTTTCTGACGGGAGGCTCCCACTCCCAGCTCCAGTCTGACTCCACGTCCTCGTCCTGCAGACGGAAGAAGAAGAAGAAGAAGAAGCACACGTGAGAAACACTGAGAGAAACAAACAAGAACAACAAGAAAGCAGCAGAAACCCAGTCAAGCATTTACAAAACATCTGAGCCACAACAGAAAAACAACAGAAGAACCCAGAGGAACCCAGAAGAACCCACAGACCTGGAACCTCCAGCTCAGGTCTGACCTCATCACAGAAAAAAGCAGAAATCTGCAGATAAACTGAGTCCAGAATCTTTAGCTGCAGTTTTCACGAGATGAAGGAAAAGTCGATTTAGGGATTTTCATGACAGACTCACCTTCAGCTGCTCCTCCTCCACCTTCAGCTGTTCCTCCTTCAGCTGTTCTTCTTCCTTCAGCTGTTCCTCACAGTTGGAGCTGCAGGTTTCTTCTGCTCTCGTCTCATCTCCGTTTTTGTCTCTGGTCTCCTCAGACGGTTTGTGATGAAGCTCGAGGGACTCGTCTTCATCGTCTTCAGTTTTCACAGCGACAGGAGCGACAGGAGCAACAGGGAGCTCCTGCAGCTGTTCCTCTGGCTCCTCTTTAACTCGAGGAGGTCTGAAAAGCAGTGGCAGAGTGGTTAGCACCTTCCCTCCTCACAGTCAGGTCCAGAGTCAAATGCCCCCCTCCCCCTCACAGCTCCTCACGGCTCCTCACGGCTCCTCACGGCTCCCCCTCGCGGTTCTCTGGAGTCAGATGTTCAGCTGCACGTTTGGTTCTGCAGAGGTCAGGGGTCAGAGGTCAGGGGTCAGAGGTCAGGGGTCCGGGGCGCGCGGCTCTGGCTCTTTTAAAAAGACCCTTTAATGAAATGAGGCTCACGCGGCTCTGGCGTCACACGAGGCGGGTTAAAGCGCCGCGCGGGTTTAGTCCACAGAAACACAGAGACAGTGTCAGCATCACCTCCAGTCTCTCTCTCTAAAACCTTCAAATCAGGCAAGAAATCTCGGGGTAATAATGGACTCAGACTTGAACTTTAACAGCCACATCAAGTCAATAACATCTGCAGCCTTTTACCATCTAAAAAACATAGCAAAAATCAAAGGTTTACTGTCTAAATCAGACTTGGAGAAACTTATCCATGCGTTTGTCTCCAGTAGGTTAGATACTGTAATGTTCTGCTCACTGGTCTCTCCAAACGAGCTGTGAGACGCTGCAGAACATCCAGAACATCCAGAACATCCACAACATCCACAACATCCAGAACATCCACAACATCCAGAACATCCACAACATCCAGAACATCCAGAACATCCACAACATCCAGAACATCCACAACATCCAGAACATCCACAACATCCACAACATCCAGAACATCCACAACATCCAGAACATCCAGAACATCCAACACACAACATCCAGAACATCCACAACATCACAACACAACATCCAGAACATCCACAACATCCACAACATCCAGAACATCCAGAACATCCAGAACATCCACAACATCCAGAACATCCAGAACATCCACAACATCCACAACATCACAACATCCACAACATCCAGAACATCCACACATCCAGAACATCCAGAACATCCAGAACATCCAGAACATCCAGAACATCCAGAACATCCAAACATCCAGAACATCCAGAACGCTGCAGCTCGGGTCTTGACTCGAACTAGGAAGTACGAGCACATGTGTCCTGGTCTCAGGTCTCTGCTCTGGCTCCTGTGGCTCAGAGACTTTAAAGTGTCTCTGTTTGTACAAGTGTCTCCATGGTCCGAGCACCAAAGTCCATCTGTGACATGTTAGTGTCATATGAACATCTCACACTCTGAGGAGCTCAGGGACCAACCTCCTGCTGGTGCCAGAGTCACGACTAAACAAGGGGAGTCAGAGTTTCAGGTTCATGCAGCTAAAACCTGGAACAGTCTGAACATGTGAGACAGACTCTTCTGTGACGCTGTTTAAATCCAGACTCTAAACATTTCTGTTTAACTGTGCAAATAACTGAAAGGTTTTCATTCCGCACTCTTCTCTCCAATTTATGTCTCTCTTTTTTAATTTTAATCTTCATGATTTATGATTTGTTTTTATTATGATTTTAATGTATTTCTTATTCTGTAAAGCACTTTGAATTAACGCGGCTCTTCAATGCTAATGCTAATGCTAATGAGGTGGCTCACCCCGGGCCCCGCGGCTCCCACAGCTGCGGCTCCTCCAGCTTCACTTGTGTCTCCATGTTTCAGAGGCTCCAGGTTCTTCCAGGGACAGACAGGTGCAGACAGGAGCAGACAGGTGCAGTTTTGAGGCCGTTAGCTCGGGTTAGCTTCAGAGCTAAAAACACAGGGGTCCTGCGGGTCTGGCTCGGCCGGTGCCTGATTAAAAGTATTCAGTGGACTCGTGCGGGTTTTTATTAATAATAATAATAATAATAATATTATTATTATTATTTTCCCCTTCATTGTAAATAAAGTTCAGATTTAAAACAGCACAAATTTGTCTTAAATTGCAAAAAATCATGAAGATAAATTTGGAACAAAGATTTTATATTTGAGAATTTGTTTTTATGAATAAAAAGAGACAAAATTAAACTTTTTATTTTACAAATAAACGTGAGAAAATTCAGAACGAAACACAAACACACAACACACACACACAGAGTCACAGACACAAACAAAATCACCTGAAGCTGCAGATTTGAAACTTTTGTGTAAATTTAATATTTTGACTTTTTTTTTCTACATAAAACAAATAAATAAAAAAAATAAAAGGACAGATCTTTGTTCTTGGTCCCGTTTGATTTGACGCTAAAATCTGAGACTCACTGAAAAACTGTTGGACAAACAAACGACGATCAAATCAAACTCACACTAAAGTTTAAAGAGAAACAGAGTCAGACGGAGCAGAGCCTCCAGTTAGAATCACCACGACGACGATGTCGTCTCGTCGTCGTCGTCGTCGCTCAGCACAAAGTCACACGAGTTTGGGTTTGGATCGAGAACCGCCATGTTTTTACAGACCGCCGTTACTGAGCGCCTGCATGGTCTCTGTGGGTCCTTTACTGAGCGCCTGCATGGTCTCTGTGGGCTCTTTACTGAGCGCCTGTGTGGTCTCTGTGGGTTTGTTGGAGTTGTGTTTCATGCTCAGGTGTCGAGTGAGACCAGATTTATATTTGAAACGTTTTTCACAAACTGAACACCTGAAAGGTTTGTCCGCCGCGTGAGTTCCCATGTGTTTCTCGAGTCCGGCTTTTAACCTAAAACTTTTCCCACAAACTGAACAGGCGAAAGGTTTCTCCCCTGAGTGGATCCTCAGGTGTTGGTCCAGATAAAACTTCTCGATAAATCCTTTCTGACAGAAGGGACACTTGTGGGGCCTGTGTCCCGTGTGGATGGACATGTGTCTCTTGAGGTTGGACGACACGGGAAAACCTTTTCCGCACACGGTGCATTTGTGCGGCCGCTCCCCGGAGTGACTCAAACTGTGCACCCGCAAGTACGACCTGTCCGCGAACCTCATCCCGCAGTCCGAGCAGCCGAAAGGTCTGAGGTCGGGCGCCTCGGTGTGGGCGGGCGCGTCCCCGGCGTGAAGCCTCATGTGTTTCTGAAGTTTGTATTTGTGTTTGAAGTCTTTGTCACAGACGGGGCACTTGTGCGGCCGCTCGCCGCTGTGCACCAGCGCGTGTTTGTGTAAATCCGACTTCCAGCGGAAACCCTTCCCGCACTCGGAGCAGCGCAGCAGCTTCAGCACGGACGCATCCAGGGTCCCGTCGGCGATGTGCGTGCGCAGGTGAGCGGTCAGGGCGTCGTCGTCGTGGAAACCGGCCAAACACACGGTGCAGACGTGGTGCTGGGTCCTCAGGTGTTTGGTCAGAGTTCCTTTTTGAGTGAACGCTTTTTCGCAGACGGGACATTTGTGCGGACGCTCCCCCGTGTGCCCCAACATGTGCACCCCCAGATGAGCCCGCCACTCGAAGCTCTTCCCGCACTCTGAACAGCTGTAAGGTCTGTGGGCTTTGGGCGCGTCTCGGGGAGTCTGAGTGAAGCGTCTGGAGGCCGGAGCCTGGTCTGGACTGTAGTCTTCTGAGCGGTCAGTGTCCTCAGAGCTGTCCGTCTGCTCCTCACTGTCGGCTCCACACTCTCCGTTGGGTTCCTCTCTGGGCTCCTCGGACGCCGTTTGGTGAAGCGCAGAGGACTTGTCTTCGTCGTCTTCTTCTTCGGTTTTGACCGTGACCATGTGGAAAGGGAAGTCCTGGGGCTCCTGTTTGACGCTCGACTCCGGCTCCTCTTTGAGACCGAGCGGCTCCCAACTGTGAACAAACACACAGAGTTACCACAAAGAGAAGAAGAAGAAACACACAGAGTTACCACAAAGAGAAGAAGAAGAAAACGACACAAACACACAGAGTTAAGACACAAACGGCTCGGACATGTTGTGAACCGTGAACGTGTTTCTGACATTGTTTCTTTGATCGTCTCTCGCTGAAAGTTCGGGGGAAACTCGGCGTCTGTTTGAATCTGTCGGTCGAAGCGTCACAAAAATCTTGAGTTACACTTTTTGCTTTTTTTTGGACATAAAACTTAAACATAAAATATAAAGATAAAATGAGGCAGAGAAACCAGGAAATCAAAAGAAGAAAATGAGGAAGAAGTTTAAAGAGCAAATCTTCGTCTTTTAAATTTGCTGTTAGAAAAACTGTAGAGATTCTGAAGAGAAACTTTAAAGTTGAGGAAATAAAATCTTTTGGATTTATGGACGTGAAAAGTTCCTGCACCAGTTTATTTTAAATGTTCAGTTTGATTTTGTTCGTGACGAACTCGAGCGCAGAAACGTTCGACTTTGACCAAAAACTCTGAACACGATGACGACTTTTATTTATGATCCGATTCTCCGAAAAAACTCAAACGAATCTTTAGAGTTAAAACCTAAAACATCTAAGATCTGAACGAGCTCTACCTGCACCTGCCGCTGCACCTGCCGCTGCACCTGCCGCTGCACCTGCCGCTGCACCTGCCGCTGCACCTGCCGCTGCACCTGCCGCTGCACCTGCCGGACTCGGAGCCTGAGTCTGAGCAGAGCCACAGTCACGTGACTCCCGCCATGTTGGATCTTAAATGTAAACAAACTTTAAACTCTGAAAAACCAAACGTGTTCGTGACACAAACGTCCGTTTCTGTTTCTGTTTTAACTTTTTTATTTTTCTCTTTTAATCCGGAACATTTGAGCAGAACTTTGTTCTTTTTTCTTCTGGAGAATTTCACAAACATTTCACCAAAACTAAAACCTCAGCGGCTCTTTCCCCGAGCGGCTCCGCGGCTCAGTGCGGCTCCAGAGGCCGGAGCCGCTGTGCGCGCTCTGCTCCCGCCTCACCTCAGACCCTCAGAGTCTCAGTGTTTCCACTCACCCCGGGCCCCTCCGCTCCTCCGCGGGGCCCCACGGCTCCTGCGGCTCCCACGGCTCCGTCTCCTCCAGCTTCACTCGTGTCTCCATGTTTCAGAGGCTCCGGCTCTTTCAGGGACAGACAGGTGCAGACAGGTGCAGACAGGAGCAAACAGGAGCAGTTTGGGGCAGTTAGCACACTGACCTAATCACGTGGGCTCCTGAGGACCCCGGGCCTCCTCACAGATGCCTGTTTAAAACTCTGAACATAAAAGTGCAGTGTTGAGCTGTGACCTCCAGGGGGCGAGAGTGCGCCGCAGCGGCCTGTGTCCCTCTGTCCCTGTGTGTCCCTGTGTGTCTCTGTGTCCCTCTGAGGACTCAGTCTGTGGACTCTGGAGGAGGATTTGAAACATTTTGAGAAAACTTCAGCGTCAGACTCGAGGTTTCAGTTTAAAGTGACGTCGACTCCAAACTGAACTGAGACCAGAACCAAGACTCTGAAACTCTGGTCGAGGTGAAAACCCGACACTTTAAGTTTTAGATTTGTTCAAAACTGAATCATTTGTGTAAATGTTTTGGAGTCGCCGGTCGCTGTTTTTCTGCAGCTCAAACGACAAATTCACTGAAAAACCAAAACCACAAACAAACACAAACACCTGCTGCTTTTCCACGTTTATTTTCACCTCTTCATTTATTTACATCATAAAAATAAACAGCACAGAAGAAGAAGAAGTCACATGATCCAATCAGATACTTCGACTCTCCAGAGACTAAACCAGGACTAAACCAGGTCTAAACCAGGACTAAACCAGGACTAAACCAGAACTAAACCAGGACTAAACCAGAACTAAACCAGGACTGAACCAGGACTAAACCAGGACTGAACCAGGACTGAACCAGGACCACAGGTGAGAGCAGTTCTGACACAGGTGATGTTGTTTCTCTCGATCGTGTGAGTTTATTTTGTGGTTCAGTCTGAGTTTGGAGCTGTTGGAATCGAGTCGAGCTGCAGCTCAGTTTCTGCTTCACTGTCGTGTTTCAGATGTTTCAGACATTCTCGTTACGTCATTTCTGCTCCGTTATGTTTCATTACCGTGTCTCTTCGTATTTACAAAAAAGGTCCAGAGACTCGTGTGTCGCTCATGTCTCGTGTGTCGCTCATGTCTCGTGTGTCGCTCATGTCTCAGGTGCGGTGGATGCTCCTCAGGTGCTGCTTCAGACTGGAGCTGTGTTTGAAGCTCTTGTCACATTCTGAACAGCTGAAAGGTGTCTCTCCGGTGTGCGTGCGCAGGTGCGACGTCAGACTGGTCTTTAACCGAAAAGCTTTGGCACAAACGGAGCAAACGTGTGGCTTTTCTCCGGAGTGAAGCCGCAGGTGTTTCTGGAGGGCGCTCTTGTGGCGATGTCCTTTGGCGCAGAACGGACACGTGTGCGGCCGCTCGTCGCTGTGGACGGCCCGGTGACTTTTGAGGCCCTGTTTGTTGTGGAAGCGGCGGCCGCAGTCGGGGCAGGCGTGCGGCCTCTCGCCGCTGTGGCTCATCGCGTGGACGCGTAAATGTGACCGCTCGCCAAACTCTTTCCCGCACTCCGAACAGCTGAAGGACCTGAGCGCGGCTGGCCTCAGAGCGCCCTCGTCCACGTGCGCCTGCAGGTGAGCGTCCAGGTGGCTCTTGTTTGGGGCCTGGTGGCGGCACAGTGGGCACAGGTGGTGACGGTGGCGCAGGTGCTGAGTCAGACCCGGTTTGTGTTTGAAGCTTTTGTCACAGACGGAGCATTTGTGAGGCCGCTCACCCGAGTGAACCAGCGTGTGCGTTTTTAAGTCCGTGTTCCGCGGGAACTTCTTCCCGCAGTCTGAACAGCTGAAAGGCGTGTCGTCGATCAAATACGAGTCCGGGTCCAGAGTCCCTTCCTCCACGTGACCCTGCAGGTGTTCGTTCAGAAGGAGTTTGTCGGTGAAACGTCGCTCGCAGACGAGGCAGACGTGATGCTGCAGCCACACGTGTCGCTCCAGCTGAGAATTCTGTTTAAAGCTCTTCTCACAGACCGAACACCTGTAAGGTCTCTCCCCTGTGTGCACCAGCGTGTGCCGCTTTAAATCAGACACATTGGTAAAGTCTTTGCCGCACTCAGAGCAGCGGTGGGACCTGAGCAGCGCCTGGTCCACGGCCCCCTCCTCCACGTGACCCTGCAGGTGTTCGTTGAGCCGGGTCTTGTCCGGGAGCCCCTGCTCGCAAACGGGGCAGACGTGGTGCCGAAAACGCCGATGACGAACGAAAGCGGGTTTGTGTTTGAAACGCGTCTCACAGAAAGAACAGCTGTAAGGTCGCTCCTCCGAGTGAACCAACATGTGTCTCTTCAGCTCGGCTTTCCACCGGAACGTTTTCCCGCACTCAGAGCAGCTGAAGGGTCTCTGGTCTGAGCAGCTGAAGGGTCTGTCAGGAGGAGTCTGAGTGAAGCGTCTGGAGGCCGGAGCCTGGTCTGGACTGTAGTCTTCTGAGCGGTCAGTGTCCTCAGAGCTGTCCGTCTGCTCCTCACTGTCGGCTCCACACTCTCCGTTGGGTTCCTCTCTGGGCTCCTCGGACGCCGTTTGGTGAAGCGCAGAGGACTTGTCTTCGTCGTCTTCTTCTTCTTCGGTTTTGACCGTGACCATGTGGAAAGGGAAGTCCTGGGGCTCCTGTTTGACGCTCGACTCCGGCTCCTCTTTGAGACCGAGCGGCTCCCAACTGTGAACAAACACACAGAGTTACCACAAAGAGAAGAAGAAGAAACACACAGAGTTACCACAAAGAGAAGAAGAAGAAACAAACAGAGTTACCACAAAGAGAAGAAGAAAACACAAACACACAGAGTTATGAGACGGACACGGAGCAGTGTTTCCTTAAATCCCCCAACAGCCTAAAAACGACCTGGAGCGGAGGACACCAGCAGAGCGGGACTCGACTTGACTCGACTCGACGTTTGATCAGAAAAGACACGACTCTGGTCCCGAGTTCAAAGGTTAAATCCACAAAGTGACGTCACAAATCAAACTAAAACTCACACAAACAAACGTCATGTCATTTGTGCTCAGAGTCGGAGATTCAGATTTTAGTTTTTCACGAGACACAATTGTTTATTATTATTATTATTATTATTATTATTATTATTATCATTATTGTGAGTGTGGGGGTTTTAAATCGAGATTTTTCTGCTCAGACAAAAGTATCGACGACGTCCTGATCAGATTTTCAGAATAAAAAAACTGGGATGTTTCTGTTTGTGGAGATTTGTAAAAATAAAATAAAATTATGAATCGAGTTTGAAGTGAAATAAAATCGTTCTGCGCTCGACGCCGCCGACGATGACGCGCTTCAGTGTCGTCACGTTTTCTTTGTGTTTTTTTGTCGTTTTGAAGCAGATTTTCTGTTTTTTGACTCAAAATAATTTTTCAGTTTTTGTCTTTTTACTGTTTCAGGATCAAATTTGTCCAAAACAAAAACACTGAGACTTTTCTGTTTAAAAATATGAAACAAATCTGTGGGACACGGAGACACAGAGACACGGGGACAGGAAACAGGGACGTGTGGACACTGTGGACACTCGGGTCCCTCGGGTCATTTGTCTTTAAACTCCGGGTTGTGGTGAAACTCGTGTCGCGCACGTGAATTTCTCCGGGAGCGCGCAGCAGCGAGCACGCGCCGCTCAACATATTTACATTTTTATATTTTTACATTTTTTAAAATCTTAAAATCTCAAATGAAACTGGAAAGTGAAAAGTGAAAACTCCCCGCGGAGTCAAACATTCATCTGCACAACAACAGAAGCTCCAGGCTCCGCGCGCGCTCACCCCGGGCTCCTCCGCGGCTCCTGCGGCTCCTGCGGCTCCTGCGGCTCCTCCAGCTTCACTTGCGCCATGTCCCCGAGTCTGAGCGCGGCTCAACCCCCGCACTTGTCCCGGGTTAGCTCGGGTTAGCTCGGGTTAGCTCGGGTTAGCTCGGGTTAGCTTTAGCTTGGAGCTCGTGCGTGACTCGCCGCAGCTGCAGCTCAGACCGACAGGGGGCGCGACTCAGACACGAGAGCAACGACCAAACATCAAAAACACAAACAAGGAAAAACAAGTTTATACAAAAACACACAAACAAACAAAGATACAAAACAAACAAACAAACAAACAAACACACTTTTATTTCTTTATTGTTTTTATCTTTTTTTTTTTTTTTTGATTTTATGATTTTTATTTTTATTTTGGTTGAAACTGAATTCTGCAGATTTTCTCTTAAAGTAAAATATTTTACACGGCTCCATGAAGCATCTGGAAACACTTTTGTTTATAAAATAATAATAATGATTAAAATAAAAATATAATAATAATAATAATAAAACCACAGTTTAAATTAAATATATTTTGATGAAATCAGGACGTGACGTGTTTGTTTCTGTTTCTTCTCAGACACAAAATCACATTTTCATCAAATCGACTAAAATCACAGAAAGAACTCATTCCGTTCCACCTGGTGATGTCATCATGTGGTGGTACAGGAAGTGCTCCACTGTGTTTTTAAACTCCACACTTCACCTTCACTAGAATCATCTGGAACATTTCAGCCGTGGAGGAAACTAAAGGAGAAGGAGCTGTTCACCTGATGACATCATGAGGTGGAGCAGAGCGTTTGGAGACTCACAGTAAAAATGTACTCAAACAAACTGGACTCAGAGCTCTGAGACTTTTCTGTTTCTTCTTTTGAATTTCAATTCAAAATAATCAATAATCATAAATAATCAGTTTTTTCATAAACAAAATTCATCCTTGATTTTTAAAATTGAATTTAAAGTTTATTTCAAACAAATCCAAACCGTCTCGTGTCTGTTTTAACTTTGATATTTGATTTTCTGCTGCGGCTTCGATCGGGATCCAGAGTCAAACTCGGATCTAAAATCTAAAATATTTTTATTACAGTTTTGTGTTTCAGAAAAATATTTTCTCAGTTTCGTGTTTCTTGTCGAGGATCAAAACAAACTTTGTAAAACGTGAAAATAAAAACACGTCGCTGTAAAAGAAGAAACAAAACTTCAACTAAAACAGAAAATAAAAGATCAACATTAAAATAAACACAAACGCTGTGCAAAAATATCGATATATCGTATCGTTTAAAGTGACAGTGTCGATATCGCGGCTCCTCTGGTTTTATTCACAGAGAAAAAAACGTCTTTTAAACGACTCGTCGATCTTTGACTCCATCAATCACCAAGAAACAAAAACAAAGACGACGAGAAAAACGTCCGAGTTTTACATAAAACAACTTTAAATAAAAAAAAAACAAAAAACTTCACGGCGTTGGTCTGAACAGCTGCAGGAGTTTAACAGCAGCTCTTTAAGTTTGACGTCTTTTTCTTTTCACCTTTTTCTGTTTCTGTTTCACTTTAGGGACAAAGGAAAAAGTCAAAATCTGAACAAATAAAAGAATCATTTTCTGACTTCTTCACATGAAAACAAATCAAGTGAAGTGAAGTTCAGATCTCGAGTTTTATGGATTAATCACCGAGAGGAGTTTTGGTTTATTTGACTCAGCGATTTTGTTCCAGTTTCAGTCTTGTTTTTTTGTTCAGAGGAAAAAAACTCGTTTGTGTGACACATTCGACATTTTCTGTTTTGACGATTTAAATGTTTCTGTTTCAGACGAACTTTACTCAAAACTAAAAATTTTTAGAATCACAGACATGATTTAGACTTGATTTTATTGAAGCGAATCAAATGGAAAGTGTCTCGTTTCTATCGAGACGTTTGGATCGACAAACTGTTAAAGACCCGAGTCCTGCCAAACTTCAAACTCCAAACTTCAAACTCCAGACTCCAGACTCTCTGTGAGATTTAAAATAAACTTTAGATTAAATGTTGGAAATCGAGGTCGAAATCTGTTTGTTTTTTTTTTGTTTGAAACTAAAACTGAAAAATGAAACAACAAAATATTTTCACATTTGATTATTTTTAATTGAAATTCAAAAGAACCAAAGGAACACGGATCCACCAGCTCCGTCTGTGAGGAGGAAGATGAGGACATTAGAACATTAGAACATGAGAACAAGACTTGAAGCTGAGACTTTGTCTCAGAGTTTGTGTGATTCTGGAGCTGTGAGTCGCTCCGAGCCTCAACTCGGTCTGAGGAGTCGAGATAAAGAAAACACAGAGCCACGTTCACGAGGAAATTCAATCACAAAACAGAACCAGAACCTCCAGAACCTCCAGAACCACCAGAAGAACCAGAAGAACCTCCAGAAGCAGAAGAAGCAGAAGAAGCAGAAGAAGCAGAAGAAGCAGAAGAAGCAGAAGAAGCCGCTCAGTGTCGGATCTGTGACGATACGAAAAACGAGACGAAGAATCTGGAGCTCGAGTTCATCCAGAAACAAAACCTCCAGCAGCAGAAGAAGAGACGTCAGGGATGGAACACATCCAACTGGAACGGACTCGATACTCGATACCGATACTCGATACCGATCCCACAACGATAAACCCCCTTTGTTTAAACAATCTCCACCGATTTTCCACATTAAACTGAAGAACTTTCTTTTCTGTTCCCAAGTGTCTTTATGTCTGTGGGATCCCTGGTCCAGTCCTGGATTAGACCTGGTTTAGTCCTGGTTTAGTCCTGGTTTAGACCTGGTTTAGTCCTGGTTTAGTCCTGGTTTAGTCCTGGTTTAGACCTGGTTTAGACCTGGTTTAGTCCTGGTTTAGACCTGGTTCAGTCCTGGCTCGATAAGAGTTTTAGTACAGATGAGTGTCGGAGTTTCCTCTTCCTCTCCCTTCTCCTCATCTTCTTCTTCTTCTTCCTCTCGCCCAGACTCTGGCCGGTGCTTCTTCATGTGTTTGCGCAGAGATCCGCGGTCGGTGTAGGACTTGGGACAGAGTGAACAGCTGAAAGGTTTGCGTCCGGTGTGGAGGATGATGTGAGCACGCAGCAGCGGTTTCTCCATGAAGCCTTTGTTGCAGAGCGGGCAGCAGTGCGGCCGCTCGCCCGTGTGGCTCCTCATGTGCTTCTGGAGACTTCCTTTGGAGATGAAGTGGTTCTGACAGACAGAGCAGCTGAAAGGTCTCTCCCCTGTGTGCACGCGGATGTGGGCCTTCAGGTTGGAGCTCTGCACGAAGCCTTTGTTGCAGATGGGACAGCTGAAAGGTTTCTCACCCGTGTGCGTCCTCAGGTGCCGTTTGAAGTGTCCTCGGAAAGCCCGGTGACACACGGGACAGCTGAAAGGTTTCTCCCCGCTGTGGGTGAGCGCGTGGTTCTGCAGCTCTGCCCGGCGCTGGAACCGTTTGCCGCAGTCGGAGCAGAGGTGTGGTTTGTGCTCGCCCTTGCCCGCAGACGGGGGGCGCTCTTGCGGCCGCTCGTCCTCGCGGTGTGTCTTCACGTGGTCCCTCAGCGTTCTGCTCCGGGAGAAGGACTTCTGACAGACTGAACAGCTGTAAGGTTTCTGGCTCAGGTGGATGACCTGGTGCTGGTTCAGGTGACTCTTGTTTTTAAAGCTCTTGTTGCAGGCGCCGCACTGGTGGGGGCGCTCTCCCCGATGAGCCGCCCGGTGCTTCTCCAGAGCCGCGAGGCTCTTGAAGCTCTTCCCGCACTCTGAACAGCTGCATGGTCCAACCGCTCCCATCCCCGCGGCTGGAGGCGGAGCTTCTGAGTGGGTCTGGACGTGTTTAACTAAACTTTTCTTTTTGGCAAAATCCTTTTGACAAAGTGAACAGCTGAAAGGTTTCTCTCCCGTGTGAATCCTGATGTGTCCGTCCACGTGACTCTGCCGCCGGAAACGTTTCTGACAAAATGGACACGTGAAACATTTCTGTCCCGTGTGGAGCCGCTCATGCCGCCGCAGCTCTGCTCGCCGCCCGAACGCTCTGCCACGGTCTGAACACCTGTAAGGTCTCACGCCAGCCTCAGGCCCAGTGTCCTCACGAGCATCCTCAGAGCAGTCAGTGTCCGTCTGCTCCTCACTGTCTGAACAGCTGTAAGGTCTCTGGTCCCCGGGTTCCTCTCTGGTCTCCTCGTCTTTGTCGTCTTCAGTTTTGATGGTTACAGGAGTGACAGGGAGCTCCTGCAGCTGTTCGTCTGGCTCCTGTTTCACGCTGAGTGGCTCCGTCCTGAGCAAACAGAAACATCTCAGTGTTTCACTTTGAAATAAAACAGATTTAGTTTCAATCAGACAAACCTGAGATTTATGTGACCGGGTTTAGACCTGGTTTAGTCTGTTTTTTTTTTTATTTTTCTCTTTTATTTTGACTTGCATTTTTACATTTATATCGTCTCTTGTTTTTTTGTTTTTTTTGTTTCTTATTTAAAATTTATTTTCACATTTATATTTTTGTCTCTTTGTTCTTATTTTATTTTGTGATTCTGAGTCTGAATTGGTCCTGGTCCTGGTTTTGGTCTTGGTCCTGGTTTTGGTCCTGGTCTGTGGGACAAACCCAGAGGCTCTTACTCTGCAGCGGTGTCCGGGAGCCGCGGGAGCCGCGGGGGGTCCTGTGGCTCCATGTGCGGGGCTCAGGGCTCATCCTTCACACAGACTCTGTGCGGCTCTGTCCTCGTGTCCTCGTGTCCTCGTGCTCGCGGGGCTGTGCACGCGCAGATGTGTCCTGTTAGCTTCGGGGCTAATGCTAATCACACAGGGGTCCTTGTGGCGGCTCCGGGTTGTCCTCAGAGCCGCCTGAA